AATAAAATGTTTAATAGCAGTGTCTACCTCACAGAGTGACTGTGAAGATAATACCTGCAAATCATGTGGGTGTTGGAACAAAGTAAGAGGTGAAGACATCTCACCAGGATGATGGTAGCCCTGAAGATAAGGTTTGGCACTGTGTGGCTCTCTTATCTGCAGGTCCCTCAGCCCATTGTATCAGGAAGGTCTTCCACCGGTGTACTCACCTGCCCCAGCACCTCAGTCCCATTAGCCTCAGGGGAGAAGATTGAGAGAAGATACAAAGTATTAGAGATAGTTCTGATGTAAAATGATAGGGTCATTTGTTTAGATGTGTTGAGTTAGGTTGAAGCATCCATGAGGTATGCTTTATTGAGGTATAATTGATTTTATGAGGGAGAAATTGAGGAGGACCCTTTGTAGAGCATTTGGAGGTTAAGTGAATCTGTTAGCAATACAGAAAACAGCAGGCTCTGGTTTGAGGTAGGGATGAATATGCAGATAATTAGTACAGGTATGTGATGGATCTGACTGGGAAATTCAAGTGGAAATTTTAGGCAGACAGATGTGACTCTGGAGGAAGTATTGTATGGTACATGAGAATACAGGCTTTGGAATCAGAGCTGAAGTAAAATTGCAATTCTTTTAGATTATGTGATCTTGGGAGAGCTATTTAACTTGTTTGAGGGGTTTCCCCCTCCCTCCCATTTGATATTCAATTACGTTTTGTCTGGTAGTATTATTCCTACATTTATTTCATTGTTTTTACCTGCCTGGTAGCTATTTGCTCATTATTTTTATGCTTTATTTGACAACTTGTTGTAAGTTTAAAACAACAACAACAACAAAACAACAATAAATAACTTCATGGTTTTGTTTTGGCCTGGTCTAAAAGTCTCAATCAAATAATAGGCTTGATTTTATTCCTTTTAGCTTATTTTTTAACTTTGCCTTTTTCCCTTTTTATTGGAGAGGTAGCTTTAGTGGTAGGGGTTGGTTTGATACAAGCATTGAATTTCCATGATTCCCCTTATTAATGTAAAAGTGGTGCTGTAATTTTCTATACTACTGGTGATTACCTTTCATTCTCATTTCTTGACTATTAAATGAAGTTAATCAGTATTTCTTGCACAGATGCTCTTATTTTTCCATTCCACAGCCCCCTCCCTAGGGTTAATGATTTAGGTTTAGCCATTAGATTCCTTTTTTTCCCTTAGAGTTATTATTTAACACATGTAGTCAGTGTTTTCAAAGCAACATTAAAATGAAATTTACTCGAATGTAATCAATCATTATTAACATACAGAACAAAGATTTAAAATTTTAACATAAAAAGCAAGAAAGAGAAACCTAATTATAATCCCACACATGTCCTCAAAGGTAAAAACAAAAAGTTGAGACATGGGAATTAATTGAAAAGAGCTTGGAGATCTCTTTGTACACACTCTCTAATTTAGAGTCAGATGGGTTAGGTAATTTCCCCAAGGTCACACAGGATCATTGACAGAATCTGTACCTGAACTCAGATATTATCAGTTTCTGGCTCTTCAGGATATTACTGGCTATTCTGGTACCCAGTGTTACCTGTAACCTATTTATATCCTTGTATATCTCAGTATGAAACTAGGACAGCAGCTGTATGTGTGTCAGAGATTAAGTGATAACATTACTCTGTTCTCTGAGTGTCATGGTTTTCTTTCCTTCATTTGATAGTGAATTTGTACTCCACCTACACAGAGGTAAGCCTGTGCAGAAGGACCAGAGCGGGCAGTGGATTGTGAATGTGAGTGAATGGGGAGTCCCCCCAGCCCATGAGTGCAGCGTGCGCCATTTGAGTTCTCTGTCCCGCCTGTGTTTTTCCCATTGGCTGAATTTTCTCTCTAGCAATAGAACAGGAATTAATATGATTGTCAAAAAGATTCACTCACTATAATTACCTATATGTATTGAGTCCCTACTACATACATGGCACTGTGCTAAGTGCTCTATATGTTACCGTGGACCCACCTGGCCACTCTGTCAGGAAGATGGTCCCATAGCAATCTGAGGGGACAGACAGGACCACAGAAGTCACTTCTTGTTCAGAAGCAGGACGGGGGTTGGACTCAGGTTCTCATGCTCTATCCACTACAATACCTGCTTTTCATTTTTTATTCTTTTCAGTACCAGAGTCGCTGTGTGTTTCTAAATGGAGTCCAGATTGATAGTGGAGCTCCCCTTTGTGTGGCACTGACACACGGTCACAGTGTCATTAAAATATAATCCTGGTGGCAGCAGCTCAAGGGTGGGACTGACGTGTTAATGTCCAGTATTTTGGGGGCTACAGTGGGTTTTCATTTCTTTTTATATTATGAGCCCAGAATGGGGGGGGGGGGCAGGTATTAACTTCATATCAGTAAAGGTTAATAATATTCATCACAGTTCCTTTTTGGACATGCTATTATACTTTTATAGAGCTGCCTCTAAGAAATTAGTGATTGTTGATTTAAATACTGAATGAGTTGTCTGCTCAGGTTGCCATAACAAAATACCATAGACTGGGTGGTTAAAACAACAGAAATTTATTTTCTCACAGTTCTGGAGGTTGGAAAGTGTGAGATCAAGGTTCCAGCAGGGTTCAGTTTCTGATGAGCACTCTCTTCCTGGCTTGCAGAAGGCTGCTTTGTTCTCAAATGAGCATCTGAGCATGTAGAGTTGGGTGCAGAGAGTACTTGGGGTCTCTTCTCTTAAGGCCTCTAATCCTATTGGATTAGGGCCCTCCCCTTATGACCTCATTTTACCTCCTAAAGGCCCTGTCACCAAATGCAGTCATATTGGGTAGTTAGGGTTTCAACGTATGAATGGGGGGTGTGGGGCTGGGCACACTTCAGTCCACAGCAGTTGTTGATTTTTTTTCTTGTGTTCAAAAATATCATGTCTTAATGATTTAAGACTTTCACATTATCTGGCATCCTTAGGAGATATTTTAAATAGCTAAACCTCTTAGGATAAATTAATTTTTAAATTCTTACTAAAATATTGAAATATTTTATATGTTATCCTTCAATTTTAAAAAGTTGCGCATGATCTGTGCTTGGTAATAATTCTAGCACTCACCAGCATACTCTGCAATAATATGAAAGTGTTGTTTGCTTATTTCACCGTTGTTTGCCTATTCTCTGTATGACTGTTTTAAAAAAAGGCAATTGTTTAAAGAAGGCTCTGCAATAGGATCTTGATTTCCTGGTAGAAAAAAAGGGAAGTGGCACTTGATAAGAGGAATAAAGATATGTTCTTCCTTTAAAAGATTATTGGGGGTAAAAGTAATTATAATTGTAGTAATGCCTATTCCTGTTGAGATAACACAACCTTAAGAACTGAATTTAATTTTCTGGATTGAAATCATGCTGATGATAATTACAAAGATGACAGTCATAACTAATATTTCTTGAAAGTTTACTAAGTGCAGACAACTACTCTGTGTTAAGGGAAATTATTCTGTTAATCCTCGTAGTAAATCTATGAGAAAGGGCCTGTATTTATCCACAATTTATCCTAACGGTAGTGAGGCATAGAAAGGTTAAGTAACTTACAACAACAGCGGCAACGATATGGGAGAAACATGGTTTGTTTGAAAGGTGTAGTAAGGAGATAGGTCTACTTTAAGAATGAAAAGGCTACTATGGAGAGCAGTGCAGAGTAAGGCCAAATAACAATATTAAGGCCACGTGTAGGTAGGACTTGAGAAATCAGGGGACTTGACATTTAATGAGCAAATAGTAAAATAAATATTCATGAGCAAGAAACTAATCTGATGAAAAACATTATTTAAGGAAAATTAATCTGTGAATTGATTAACTCTTATTTTACCTTACCATTTTTTAAAGATATTTAATATTTCATAAAAATGTTTATCTCTTATTTTATCTTGTTGGCTTTTGGATTTCTTACAGAAAAGGAATATATTACATTTATAAATGTCCCAAAGAATCTGAAATTTTCCTCAAAACAGGATATAAAAGTCAAAGACTATGTAGTTGGCAAGCTAAGTGTTAAGAAATAGATGTATTATATTGCATATCCACAGGTTTCAGGGTTTATGCTTTAAATTTTGTTGGGATACTTTTGCCTACAATGTTAGTAACTCATATTAAAGATGTGTTTAGTTACCATGGTTTAAGAAAGCATCTTATTAAAAAATTAGTTTTGTATATTTTCCCCTAACAGGAGGAAGGAACATGTATATGTAAGGAAGAAAAGAAGCATTTTGTCACTGAACACTATTTTTTTGAATTCTGTGTTTCTATTCATTTCGTGATGTTTTCTTATCTAACTAGGTTATGAGCCCTTCAGACAAAAGATCAGTTGCTGATTTGGTCCCTCACATTGCTTATCTGACTCAGTGTGATATGTCTGTGAGGCATTTAATAAACCTTTTATTAACTATCAATCTTTGGGATTTTCTCCCAAGTCCTTAATTCTGTTAGAGAACCAGTGCTATGTTGAAACAAATGTAGTCACATTTTCAATCTGAAGAATATCTCATTTTTTTAAAAAGAGAGAGACAGATAGTACTACTGGTTTTTAGGGCGTCTTATTAGTAGCAGAATTGAGAGCAGAGCATGTGATATATATATTATTCTATAGTAATAATACAGGTTGTCTCCCAAAATGTATACATACTTTATCAGCTGATAGCTCAATTGGTGTTTCTTTCTTTTCAGGCTTAACCTATGGGAATTAATAATTATTCAAAGTGTATATAGATTTTAGGGACTCCTTGTATATCAAACTGGAAGACTGTAGGGATTCTCAAAGAGCAGAATTCCATTCATCTTCTTCAACCTCATTGTTAGCATATGAAATAATGCTAAAAATTAACCACAGTACTTTTTCCTGAAAATTTGAAGAAATCACAGGCCGCTTGGTTACTACAAAACCGAAGAACCCATATGTGTTAAGTGCACGCCACTTATACAGCCCTAACTGTTCAAGTTTTGAAGCAGCCTGTGTTTGATTTGCCTTGTCTTTCTTCCTAGCTGCAAGAGAAATACTCTGGTTAGAAAAAGAAGAGCGAGCCAGGCAGCACTACGAAAAGCACCTGGAAGAGAGGAAGAAGAAGTTGGAAGAGCAGAGGCTGAAGGAAGAGCGGAGGAGGGCTGCTGTGGAGGAAAAGCGAAGGCAGAGACTAGAGGAGGACAAAGTAAGGTGCCGCTCTCGCTCAGAAATGGTGGGAGGCGCATCTATTGCAGAAATGCAGCGGACTTGCTATGGAACTTCCCATTAAGGTGCTGAGACGCGTGGCAAAATTGTCTCAGAGTAAGCTGGACAGACAGACACAGTGTGGAAGGAGGTTGGGGTGTGGAAGTCTTGTAGAGAATACTGTGCTTGTTCCTATTACCACAGAAACTTTAAAAGCCCATTTTCTCTGCTCTAGACCTATAACTTCTTTATGTTCCGTTAATCTATACTGAAATACCAAGACCATTCCAAGTCGTTGGATTTCTTTTTTTGTTTGTTTGTGGGGGGTTTTTTGTTGTTGTTCATTCTTACCTGAGGTTGTTTTCTCCATTGATTTTCAGAGAGAGTAGAAGGGAGGGGAAGAGACACAGAGAGAGAAACATCAATGTGAGAGAGCCACATCGATTGGTTGCCTCCCACATGTGCGTTGACTGGTGCCGGGGATCAAGCCTGCAACCCTTCAGGGGATCAAGTATGTGCCCTTGACCAGAATCAAACCCAAGACCCTTCAGTCCACAGGCCGACACTCTACCCACTAAGCCAAACCAGTCAGGCCAAGTCATTGGATTTCTATAGGGCTTTACCATCGACAAACTTTTTCCACATATTAGATTGTCTCATTTATCCCTATTCAACCCTTGAATTTGGCAAAAATGGAAATACAGAATTAGAATGGGTAAAATACAAGGTTATACAATTCAGTAAGTTGTGGAGTCAGATTCTAAATTCCATTTTTTAGGTATGGTACCACATGTGTTTAATATCTGTGTAAGGTAAGACGTGCACTGCCATGAAAACATCATATTCCCAGTAGTAATAATAAAGATCATTTATTAGGTACCTACTATATGCAATGGGCTTTTTCAACTGGCTCCTAATGATTTCAATAACCATCCCAGGTTGGTAATATTCTCACTTTAAGATAATGTATAACCCTGGCCAGTGTGGCTCAGTTGGCTGAATGTCATCCCATGCATCTAAAGGTTACCATTTGGCTCCTCGGCCAGGGCATATACTCAGGTTTCAGGTTCAATTCCTGGTCAGGTGTATGCAGGAAGCAATCGATCAATATTTCTCTCTCTCTCTCTCTCTCTCTCTCTCTCTCTCTCTCTCTCTCCCTTTTCTTCCTTTCTCTCTCTCAAATCAACAAAAACTTTTTTTTTTTAAAAAAAAAAGATCAATAAAAACATTTTTTAAAAGTCTATTTCCTAAATGTTAAGAAATAGATTAGGAGTACTCCCTCTCACTCTACTCTGTCTTAAGTTAAAGAAGCCTTGCTCTGGCTAAGTAGCTCAATTGGTTAGAGCAGTGGTCGGCAAACTGCAGCTCATGAGCCACATGCAGCTCTTAGGCCCCTTGAGTGTGGCTCTTCCACAAAATACTTACTTCTGCGCATGGGACACGAAGTTTCAATCGCACTGTATGTGCGTGCCCACATGTGGTATTTTGTGGAAGAGCCACACTCAAGGGGCCAAAGAGCCGCATGTGGCTCGCGAGCTGCAGTTTGCTGACCACTGGGTTAGAGCATTGTCCCTATATGTCAAGGTTTCAGGTTTGATAAGAAGTCAGGGCACATACAAGAAGCAACCAATGAATGCATCAGTAGGTGGGGCAATAGATCGATGTTTCTCTCTCTCTCATTCTCTTTTTCTCTCAAATCAATTTTTTATAAAAAATTTTAAAGAGGTCTCAAATAACTAGGTTGAATCTAATCATCAGCTGCTCTATTCCATTTAAGGAGCGCCATGAAGCTGTTGTACGACGTACGATGGAAAGGAGCCAGAAACCAAAACAGAAGCATAACCGATGGTCATGGGGAGGCCCTCTCCATGCCAGCCACAGCGTTCACAGTACAGGTAAACAGGCGGTGACCACTTTCACAGTCCCTTTTTTGTTTTTCCTGAGCAGTAAAAGTGCAGTTGCTTCTTTTTCCTAAGTCTGTGTTTGCAAAACAAAAATCCTGCTGAAACAATGACACTACAATTAAATGATGCTTCTGTTTGAGGATAAGAGGGTGATGGAGGTAAGAAGATAAGATTCTCCCCCTTAACATAGACTGCTTTTCTCATTTGTTACAAAGTCCTTGAGGAGAGAGAAATCTATGCAATGCTTCTAAATAAACATGCTAGTTTCAACTCTACATTAGTCTAATTAAATTACATAGGGTTTCAGGATTATGAAATTGGTTCACCAGTTTTATCTTTTACTCTAGAAGAATCATAGGCTTATTGACTAATTAAAATCAATACTATGAGCTTATGTATTCTGACCCTAAAGGGTATGCAACACTAGCTTTGTAAGAGAAAGTGCAGGTTTTGAGGCTACAAATAGTAGATGCCTTTGCTATTCCCTTGTTCTTAAGTAGACATGAGAATACTGAAATTTGGAATTAGTGAAAGGCCTTATTTTTGTACTGTAAATTCAATACACCTTGAATTTTATATGGTGTGTCGGTTCTTTTTCATTTGTGTGAGTCTAATAGCCTCTTTTTTTAATTTACTTTGAAAGGTCATTGTCTTACATGCTGTCCCCAGGTGGTTTGTTGAATCATCATTCACCTTTCTCGATTTAGCAGGCCTGGACCACCACTTCACAACTTTGGGTGGTACTAGAAAGTCTGGTACAGACCTCCCTTGATTGCTGATTGCCTGACCTGTAGCTGGCACCTCAGACCTAGGGCCAGAGTTCATCAATAGCTGGACCATCACCACCGTAGTCATGATGCTTGCTTAATATCCCATTGCATAGACCTAGATCTGGCATATAGCACAGTGTTTCTTAAGTGTGATAATATAACTCAGGTGACTTGAAGCTGTTGAAATAATTACATGTCATATGTTTACTTTCTCCTTAAATGATCATTTTAAGATAAAACTTTTAAAAAAATTTTTTTTAGCGAATAAATTACCTGGGATCAAAGCACATCCAGTTTGGTTTCCCCTCCCCACCCCCATTCCATCCTTGTGTAGCCACTTGTAGTTGTAATCTACTAGTAAATGTTAATGGATTTTTGTTTGTTTGCTCTATTCTTTTTCATTCCTAACATTCAGTGTATTTTCTATAACCCCTTCATGTTAAAAAAAAAAGTCTAAAATCATATTACCACAATTTACTTTCCTGTCAGAGTGAACCACAATTGAAAGCAGTTTTCTTGGCTCTTTTTTGGTGGGGCACCTATCAAATCTGTGATCATTAGGATCATTTACGGGTGATGTTTCACTCTAGGGATAGTTTTACACACGTGTTCCATGTAGAAAAGCTGTCATGGTACATATTTTTATAACCTTACTGTTTTTTTCTTTTACTTGGCTTTGTTTTTCATGTGTAGGCAGAAGTATGCTCTGTTACAGATTTTCTTTGAAGGGAAATAAAGTTCCCTTGCACTCAGAGTTCAATAAATGACCGTTAGTACTGTCACTCAGAGCAAGAGAATGTAAACTGTTGGATAAAATTCGTTTTTATAAGGGCTGTGGACAAGAGAACATTGCTGCTACATAGACGAGAGAAGTTTGGAAATAATGGGAATATACCAAAATTCTCAAAGGTCAAAATGATCTGCTGTGACCTCGAGAGCAAACAACCAGACCTCTCTCATTTTGAATACCCCTTACTACACAGCAATGCCTGACTCCTAGTGGTACTCATTCACTGTTCACTGACCAACAAACAGGTCCTAGAAATCAAATTTAATCGGATTAAATCAGTGTGTTGTCTGACTGCTCCAACATCAACTAGCACTGGCTTGTAAACTTTGTACTGTTTAAGCCAGTTCGTCAAAAATCCTTTCGTGAATTTGTATTTGGTTCAATGAGAAAAAGAAGTGATTAAAAATTATCTTATTATGTATAAAATAATGTAATAAATACATATTATACCCCCATAATTTTAACCATGCAGGATAGGCCTACATGTAGACACAATTTTCCTCTAATTAGAGCTTAAAATATAAAGCAATATCAGAAAATGTATTGCTATAAAATCACTGGAAATACCTTTCATTATCCTTCCTTGTGTGCTTGAACCTCATAATTAAGGTGTTCCTTTAGACATTTTATCCTGAATCTTTATGTTAGGAACACCCAAAGGGCCCATCAGTTAAGTATAAATAAATTTGAGTGACAGAAATGATGTTTGGATTTTTTTTAATAAGTAAATTCTTCAACCATAAAATGAGCCCCAGTAGGAAATAGAAATGTCTGATGCTGGTGGAAGACCTACTGTAACTAATGGCCAAAAATGGTTATTTTGTGGGGAAAAGTTTACTGTAAAATTTGTACTACCAAGGTTAGTTAGACCAATAGCAACTAGGTTTTGAAAGCCTTTCTCCCACAAGGAATATTTTGTTTTGTTTTGGTTTTAGAAGATGTGAACAATAGAAAAATAAAAAAAAATATGGCAAAAACCCCATTACCTTTGGCTATTACGGAGCATCTACCTGCCTCCTAAATAAATATAATTTTAAACTTTTAATGTACACAATTTTATTCAGGGAATATGATTTATGCTACCAAGTATTGTTACAACTTGGTTCCACTATACAGACAGCAAACTAATAGAGTTGATTTTTGCCTTTTAAATGACTGCTATTTCTCTTCTGATTTGAACTTTAAGAATTGCTCTAAAATTACTCAATGGCAGGATGAACAATATTGTTAATATACTTAAAGGAAGGAATTCTGATTTTCTTTCTATGACCGTCTGTTTTGTCAGGCAAGTTTGTGGGCTGTTTCTACCTTTGCAAACCATATCAAACTCTATGTTCCAGGCTTAGAGACACGGTTATTAGTAGACTTTTTGAATAGAAATGCTATAGTTTCCTCTTCTTTCTTGTTAATGTGTTTTTCTATAATGAACTTTCATGCCCTGGTTGCAAATGACCCTGGGAGCCAAGCTATCAGCAGATACGCAGAACCTGGTGTTCTTTGCCTTCTAGTGTTCGCTTTCTATTTTACCAGCACTGTGTCTACCCCATTGCTCCTTCTTCGAGAAATTATAAAGGCTGTCACATGTATGGCCCTCTCTTTGCTTCACAGTCTGCCTCCATTGTTTTAGTTGCTCTCCACTGGCTTTCATTCCTCATATTATAACATTATGCTTGAATTTCCCTGGCTGACAAACTGGTGAGCTGAATATTTATTTTATCCCATAAGAAAAATGAATTTTATTTCTACCCTTTAAGTTACCTTGCAAATGTCCACTTGGAAAACTGTGCTATCACGAAAGATCTAGGGATAGAGCTGAAAGCATCCAGTCCTAGTTTTCCCTTCCTTCAGCGAACTAGGAAATTGCAATCCTGCATGCTGGCTGTCAATTAGCATTATCTCCATTTGTTTTAGATCCAGACAGGCGGTCAGTTTCCACCATGAATCTTTCGAAATATGTTGATCCCGTCATTAGCAAGCGGCTCTCCTCTTCATCTGCAACTTTACTAAATTCTCCAGATAGAGGTACAGTCAAAAGGAAAACAAAAAAAGTGTTCTGTTATTTACTTAATGCTTTTTTTTCTGGATGTTTACAGATAAAAATAAGCATCTGAAGTTGCTTTCCCTACGTTTCTTAAATAGGAAGAAAAAAACTTCAGAATAAAAAAGCAATAAACGGCTGAGCAGCATTTTCCTTGCGACAAGAACATTTCTCATTTTAGAACTTGGCTGAATGATTGCATTTAGCAGTGATGAAAGCGGTGCTTCTCTCAACTCTTTAGTAACTGAGTTTACAGCTCCAGAAATCACCCACTTATCCACTAACATGCAACTAATCTTTGTTATGAACATTTATTTTACTTCAATCATACTGTCTTTGACTTTTCATCTGTACTTTGGAAATTCCAGTCTTTGATTTTCTTTACAAAAAAAAAAAAAAACCTTAATTGATTCATGTTAGTAGATTTCATTTTGCTAACTTCTCATTTAACCAAACCTTTCTTGCTGCATTTCTTGTTTGTGTGTGACTGGTTTTTTGGTTTCCATTCATTTACTCTTAAGGGATTTGGCCTAACTTCAAGAATATCATCAGTGAAGCCTCCTAAAAATTTTAATAATCATAGTCCTCCAATTAACATTTTATTTTAATTTTGAGTTTTATTCATCTTATGGATTTACAGTACATGAATGTTATTTATTAAATGAAAGTTTTATTTTACATATTTTATATATCATGGTAGGAAAAACCAAACTTTTAAGATAAGCTACTTGTTTTACATAATTAAAATGATTTTAAATTAAAAAACAAAACAAAATTATTGTGCAATATAAAAATACATATTCTTCAAAAGTAACAAGTTGTGGTTACTTTAAGTGCTTTATTAAGAAACTGATGGGGAAAGGTTCAGTGTTTATACTAGTAGTATTGAAAAAGAATGTAATGTGTGCATGTTCTGTATGTGTGTATGTGTATTTGTGTATTTTATATTGTTTAAAAATTATGGTGTCATAATGTACAATATTCTATGTGCTGATGTTGTTTTATAATAATCTCTTAATACAGTAAATGTTTGAACAACTTCCTGTTCTTGCCTTTTAACTTAAACCATCCCTTTTTTTTTCTCTTTAACCTAATTTGCCTAAATCAGTATTAGACATGTAGTCAAATTAGAAGCCTTTTATAAAGTATTATGAATTAACATTCCTTTCGTAAATAGCCTTTCTTTTCAAACTCATTCCCCCTAATATAACCTAAAATATAGCATGTGAATGCTATTCTTACAGTTGTCTATTCTTCTTTTCTTTGGAGCTGGTCACTTACTCTAATTTCATACTTTTGGGGAACTTGGATATCAGACAAGCTACAGTTGGGATTTTACTCTACTTTTAAGTTAAACCTTGCATACTGCTTCCTACCGTACACAGCTAAATTGGGGTAAGGTTGAGAGTGGGAGGTGGGCAGTAAGCCAGACAACATCCTGTCCACACTTCCTCGGAAGGACAGTGCTGAGTCAACTAGAAATAAGATGTTTTATAGGTTCTGCACGATAATATCTGAATGGATATTCTTAAAAAAAAAAAAAGGATCTTAGAACTTGGGGGAATTTGTTGGATGACTCCTCTACTCTAGTTTGGGTAAGAGTCCCGAAGAGGTGCAGGGCCTGAACCAGTATCCTAGAGGCTGACAGTTAGAGAAGAGGGACTAGAATCGTGATCACCAGCTCCTAACCCATGTTGCTACACTGCATCTTCAGGTTTTACCTTCATGGATGCCCTTCCCAAGATCAACCCTGACTCTGTGCATTCTTCCTTTGGGAAAGGTTAAGGGTCAAGGGAAGTTTAATAAACAAGTCATAGCTGGGGCCAGGAAACTGCCCCTTGAATCATGGTACAGGCTGATAAAACTGAATACTAAGCTGACCAATAGGACAAGAGTGAGACGCTAAATTGGGGAGTTCTGTTTTTTCCCCATTTATCAAAAAGTTTCTGGATCTAACAGATAAGGTTGGCCCTAAAGGAAGATTTGGGTCATCCAGGGGTTCCTTTAGGTCCAGGAAGCAGTTTTTTTTTAAGTTAAGCAAAACTCTCAAGAGGACAGTGAAAAATCTGGGTCTTTTAAAAAGAATAGAAATTCTGAATTTGAACTTCCTAATTTAAAAATTTAAGTAATTTACTTAGCTTATTTTATGCTACTTTTAAAAGTTGGTTATGCTTTATCATCAAATTAAAAAGCATTTTTATTAAATTACTGAAATAGAGGTTTTTACAGACTAATCTGTTAGAGGTTATATCTATATACCAATGCTAGGGTTGGTTTGAGCTTTCTCAACCTCACAGCACAAGCCTGGGAGCTGGTATTAAACTGAGGCTCTGATATTCTCAAGGTTGATATTCAGCTGGAATGCTGTACTGGTTATTAAAAGTACTCAAATGTTTTCATACCAGTTGGTAAGTACTCACTTCCCCAAGCTGTGCTTCCCCAGGTCCTCCAGAACTAATGAGTGGCATCCATGTCCTTCCAGTTTTTAAATATTTTGATTATCACACCTGAATATAGCATCATAGACTGATAAAATGACCTGAGTTAAAAGGAAACCCCTGACTACCAAAGATTTCTATAATTGCTGCAATAGAGTGAATATTGCCACTGGAAATTTTTACATTAAGAATGTGTATTTCTTATTAACTTAACTTACCTGCTTAGCCAGCTTTTTTCTCAAGGGCAAATAGTAAGGAGGGTTTTTTTTTAAGTGAAAATGAAGTCACCTACTCTTTGCTTAAAATTAATCTATACATTTTTTTCCCTAAAGTCTAGGACAGAGGACATGGTGTGGTAGACCTCAAACTGAATTCTGCCCACAGGCACGTTCTGCCTGACCTGAGCAAAGGATTTGTTCTTTTTTTTCATTTGAATTAATTGGCATCATTTTAAAAATGGAATCTATCATTTAGGTTTTCTATTTTTAATGAAAAATCAGGACCTGGCAACACTTGCCTGGTTTCTCCACCATCTAGAACCGAATAATGGTTTTCTGCTCATGGGGAATATGCAGGTGCACATATCTAGCATGTTTGTTTGCCTCCCTGGTCCGGGTGATCTATTATAAGGATTGTCAGAATCTCATTTTTAAGTGCTTAAACAGGATCAATACTTTATTTCATGAGAATTAATATCTCTTCATTCCAGAGTTTATCACCTTAAAATCAGGCCCCTCTAAGTGAAAAAATAAAACAAAAAAACATAAACTCACTCTCCTGTCCATACCTTTACTAAAAAGTTACCTTATGGAAGTGATCTGTCTCTCTTTTGCTCAGGACATAGTTGTGAAGGTGGCAGAAGAGGAAACATGTGTCTCTTAGCAAATCATTCATTCATAGGTCAGAGCTTTAATCTCTTTGGGTGTACTTTAAATACAAGTCAAAGAGAGTTTTTAATCTTCATTTGAGGCAAATTTTGGTTGATGCCTTAAAGATGCACAGAAATTAAGTAATTGAACTTAATGAAGGGGTAGGGTAGAGGGACATGTCTTTTCAATGATAAACCATCTTGGCAGTTCTATTTTATCTAAAAAAGGAAGCATTCATCTCTTCTTCCCTTTCTCATCTACTAAAAATAGAGTTCTGGTGAAGATTTTTATTTAATCCTAATCTTTTTCCCCATTGACCTTCTGTGGATGTATTGTAATTCTAGATTACAATATTTTTGTTGTTGATACACAAAGGACACATACACTACCATACTACAATTTGTAATTAGCACGTTTCTCAATGTACATGATACTACCTCTGTACCTATTACATTGGTTTTTGTAACAGATCTTTTTGTTAATGTCTTGCTGTTAGATAAGACTTCACTTAACCATGAAAGCTCTCCAAATAACTAGAAAAATCTAATAAACAATTCACTGATTATTAAATTCACCGGAGCCTTGATCAAAATAGTCATTCTTTTTTTAAGTCAGATAATTAAGGTTCTTATTGGAAGTTGGTACCTCTTGGAGATAGAAGCAAATATTTTCTGTAATACATGTAGCACTGGATGGCTTCTAATAACTAAAACTACTTTCCTAGAATATAAATGCCATTCATTTCAAACATGTCATATAAAAGATTGTTATAAGAATGACTGCTCCTGAGGCAAAGAGACTTACTTGTACCTGCTGTTTACCGTGAGGAACAGAAGGGCCTTGCCAGGTTTAGACAGTTCTAAAGTCTTTTATAAGTCACTTGGAAATGTGTTCTAAAATAAAGATATATTATCGCTTGAGTGGTTTTTGTAGACTTCTTTCCTGGAATGTTAGAAAGTAGCCTCTGTATTTTCATGGGCCATCAATGGAAGCTAACGTAAGCAAAGTAATTTATGATTGGCGTGCATTTCCTAACAGTGGGCTTGCCAAGCCCCAATATAATTTGGGACCATAACTTCATTACATTATTTTAAATTGACCTTCCAGATTCTTCACACCAACTAGCAATCTCCAATTTATGTTTCTATTGGATTTTGGCTTTTCTGTTTAATTTTATCTTGCTTCAACTTTACCCTTACGCTCCCCCAAAATTTTATGTTGTTGTCAAACAGGGACCTGAAAGAACCTGACTTTGCTGAATGGAAAGGTCAAAAGGAAATTCAATACAGAACTGTGCATGAGTCCTCTTCCGTTTTATTATCTTTAATTTCCCCCCAATTACCTGAGTCACAATTGATGGAGATCTATCAACATGTAATGGAGACCTTTCTATCTTTATTTACTTATAAATCCAGTCTTGCATTAAGCTGGCATGGCCGCTGGTGGCGCTGATTATTCAGGGTACTTAGGAATTCCTTTGGCTGAAGTGTGCCAGCAGTCCACTGCCCATCCCGATAAGGGCAGACGGCAGATAGGTATGACTGGAGTCGGTGACACATGCCAAACCTGTCGTGGAAATAATATTTCTGTTGTGTTATCAGTTGACTGCTATAGGAGAGTGGTTAGCGAAAACTGCATCCATAAAACTAATATAGAGCCTGCCACAAAATAAACCTTTGCAGAATGGCAATGCCATAGAATAACGGCTCCTATGGGTAGGGTTCCTGTTGCCCTGCCTCTTCACTCACTGTCCTCACCAGAGAGCCTGTATCTCTCGAAGGCCAGCATGTGGAAGCGATAGGTGTGATGCTCTGCACCCTCTTGCCCGTGGAAGGAATGCTTCTAACATCTTGCTTATGTGGTGACGTTTAGCTCGCCGCCTGCAGCTCAGCCCATGGGAGAGCAGCGTTGTTAACAGACTGCTGACGCCCACGCACTCGTTCCTGGCCAGGAGTAAAAGCACAGCTGCCTTGTCTGGAGATGCAGGTAAAACTGTCAAGGTGCACCTTTCCTGGGGCCGTCAAGTCCTCCTTTTGAAGCATATCTGAGCCTCCATCTGATCACATCTTCTTTTTTCCCAATGTGTGTTTCTCTCTCCTCCGGGTGGAACAGCTTTGGAAATGTGTCTATTGGTGCTGGTTTCATGCCCCTGGCATTGTTTCCTCTTCGCATCCATCTTAGCGTCTTACCTGGACACCAGATGTCAGGCAGACAAAGGGTCCCCTCCCTGTGATGAGATACTTCTGTCCGTTCAGAACATTCCCAGAAAGACCGGTCCCTTCCCTAACTTTCTTTCTGCCCTTGCATCTAAGCCAATGATCAGAGGCAGAAATAATTTAATATACTAACATGTGGACTTGGGGATAAAATCAAAGCATGAGCCGATTTAAGCACACAGTTTCCTAATGTGGCTGTAGGCTGGCTACTTACCCTCCTGTGCCAGTCTTTTATATGTCAACTTGGAAGAGTACCCTTCCAAAACTCTTAAGATTTGTGGAGAAGGCTAATTATAGTGTTGTTAATTGTTACATACTTCAAAAATATAGTATGTAAAATGCACCAAGTACTGGTTATTATAATTAATTATAACTCCTTTACTTTTTTGAAATGCAAAACATGCCTGAATGGGCCAATTAATTCCATGTATCTAGCTGGAAGATACATATTAGGCTTTTGGCAACATCACATGGTGAGTTGATTTAGATATTCCCAGCTATCTTTGGGCACAGCTGGTGTATCAATATAACCAGTCTACTAGCCCTCATCGTTGGCACTTAAGAAATTGCATAGGCTCTTCACAAAATTCCCTTTAAAAGACACTTTGCCTCTGCGAACCTCTTCACTTACAAATACTAATTCTTGGTTTTATGATGTCTTTCATTTCTGGTTTCCAATGAGCTAATATCAACACTAATTCTCACAGTACCCCTGGGAAATAGTCAAGAAAGCACGTTCAGGCATCCCCACCACCTGCCTGTGGAACTCAGTAACGAAAGTGATTTACCAGAGCCACTTAGGAAATCAGTAGACTGGACCTTAAACTAGCTTACCCTCCATCCTTGGCACCCCGTGTGATGCTCTGTGTACCTTGTGCATTCAACTAGCTGGACCACAGTGTTCTGTGTTTTCTGTAAAGTAACTTGTCAGCTGTCATGTTACATCTGAGATTTTTCTGGAGGAAAAAGTATACCTTATTTCAAGATAGTTTTCTTTTTTGATGCCTGTGAATGGAATACTTTTATATAAGTTTTTCTTTAGGTCCAGCTAATTGAAGAACCTCTAACACTGCTTTTCAGTTTTCTTTCATAGGATCTAAATAATAGTTTATGGCTATCATGCTTATGAATCTCCATATTGTATGTTTTCATACTAAAAGACTGCCTCGCAGCTAGAAAAATTGTCTTTGTTTGCTATTTCTGTCATCACTAACTTTTGTCAATTCTTTCACTCTTCCTCTAGTCTTTTTCAACACCATTTCCTCATTTTCCACCCATTCTACCCACCCATCTTCCCACCTTCCTTCTTCATTGTTATGTTCAGCCAGGTGCTTTTTACCTCCTAACTGGTTCTTCTTTACTTTGCAACTTTTCCATTCTCCTTGTCACAGATTGACTCATTTCTTTAATTTACTTTAGTGTGAAGCAATGTATAGCCTTTCCTTGAGTTGCCTGTTTCATTAATATATTCCTTAGATCGTTGTTACCTGTTATTGCATCAGTACAGCTTATGTTTAATGAACCAAAACTGTTGATTTCTAAAATTTTCCATATGAAATGACATATGTAAACATCTCTTACATATATCTTGTCAAAAACACTTTTTCTGTCTACTCTCGTTGATTTTTCTTTCTTGTCTTCCCATTTTAGTGTTGCCCCTTGAGTTCATCTTATATCCAATTGCCATTGGCAAGAGGATGGCCTACATCCAGAGCCAGGGTTACCATAGTAGGTCAAAATAGTCACCCCTAAAATGTTCAGTGACTGCAAACTTCCAGAACAAGCCATGAGAGCAGCTGAGAACTGAAAATCAGAGTCTCATTTGTACCTACTGCTTTGGGTTGACTTTTCCATGCCCATTTTAAAAAATACATTTAAAATAATTGTGATTATTAGAGCTCAGGATTAAAAGAGTTAATACATTTAAAATGCTTAGAATAGTGCCTGCACATAGTAGGCACTCAATAAATTTAATATTATTATTATTCTATTATGTAATTTTTCTATTCTCCATGCCACACTCCAACCACTTGAACTGCATTGTCTTTTCTCTTCACCCGTCTTTTCATATAGAAAATCTTGAATGGTTTAAATTAAGGCACACTTGCTACCAAGGATAGAGAAAATACAGATATTGTGGAAGACTTTCTATAGAAGAATTTTCACGTGTAACAAATTGACTTTGAGATAAGGAGAGCATTCTGGGAGAGTGGGGAAGACAACTATAGATTGCTCTTACTATTTCTTCAGAAGAGCAAGAGTATTAGAATAATTGACTTAAAGTTTCAGGTTTTTCAATAGTTGCTATTGAGAACAACAATAAAACTCATGAAATGTAATATCCTTAGAAGGAATTTATAGTGTTTATTTTAGCCAGGCAATGTTCCTTGAACAATTAAATTTGAAGATTTTAGTGTAAACTACACTGATAGATTTAAGACATTTTCATCCTTTGATTAATGTTACCTTGGCACCATAATAAAGAATAAACTGGAGGCATGATGAGATTGGTTTACATCCAGGATGGTCTCAAAATTGCTCCATAAATACCCCCCAAAATAACTGTTTTTCACTAGAGGAAAAAGAAGTCATATTTCTGTGCTTTATTCCTTTTTCAGTGTCAGACCTATGGCCTCAAAGCAAGGCTGTTGTCTAGTCTAGAGTTTCTTGAACCCCCAGCACGGTTAGTGGCCCTCTGGTCATGCCCTAGGTAATGTGTGCCTCTCCTGGTCATGAATCCTACAGAAGTGCCTTGTGCCAGGATGTTATTTTCTAAATATATTTGATGGGCTTGGAAGAGTTTTACATTAATGAACTCTTCCCTTGTCTGGGAAATGCAAATGCTTTGCCGTGGCATTGAGAACGGTTATTTTCAAATTATTTCCCCTGTGATCACAATAAACCAAATGAGAGAAGGTCCTCCTTCCTCACAATACAGAGAAATCTTCTTTTGCCATTAAGATCTGAAACAAAGCTCTGTGTCAACTTACTTGGGTAAGACACACATATTCTTTTCAGGAGAGCTGAGGGAATGCAAAATGTTTCTGTTTACCGGAAAGAAATAGAGCTCTGTGTTCAGATGATGGGAAAAGAGAATGCAATTTCCAGTCTGTTTACTGCCTTGGCCATTGATAACAAGGAGATCCTGCCAAGCATTTGGTGGAAGGTGCAGTCTGATCCACCTTCTGTCTATAGGTTAAACTAAAATAAACATACTTTTAAACCCTAACTCTGAAATTAAGATGACCCCAAATTTGTCTTGTAAACTTTTGAGTTTTTAATTTATTAATACTGGTATATTCAGCTGGCATGAATGGTCTCTTTAAAGAGTTGTACCATGGCTAGAATTGGGTAAAACCATGTTTACAGCAGTTCCCTTACATACAATTCTCCTCAGTGGTCATGTTTAATTGTCTTATTTTTTCTGCTGGAGAACAAGGTTTCTGGATGAGATCTGAAAATGAGCCTTGGAACCTTAGTACCCACACTTTAGATACCTCTGCAGTATTTATTGTCTGAATCAATGTCTTTAAACCATCATTGCCCAGAATCCCTTGATTAATGACGGTGTTCCTTTGAAGGTGAATGGTCAGAAACTTTGTGATTTTTCAAAAAAATGTTCCATTTTGGGTACAACTTTAAAGCTATGCATGATTCAACTTTATTTTTGGCAATTCTAACATATTTGTGTTTTATTCACCATTTTAAATGATGACATCCTGTTTCCCCATACAGTCTGCTGCTGCTTGTTATGAACCTTCAATGCTTTGGATTCTGGGAAAATCCACAAGCATGCATTTGATTTTGCCTTTAAATAGATAAAACATTCACAGAATTTTTTTCTAGAAATTATTAGTTATCCTTCAAACAGGTCTTAACACCTGGTAAGACTTGGTCATTTAACATTTTTAAAATTCAGTTGCTTTTTTTTTGTTTAACCACTGCCTATTGAACTTTACTCCTGAAATAGTCGCTTGCTTGCTTGCTTGCTTGCTTGCTTCCTGTCTTTCCACCTTTTGTTCACTCTTAAAGCTAATTAGGAAAAATGTGATTATAAAGCAGGCCTTATATAAAAATTACCTTTCATTAATGGAGCATTTTACAAAACCTTGAGTTTATAGGAATATAAGGCTGTTGCATTCCATAATTATTGGATTACATCTATTTCTATAATCAGTATTTAAATAGCCAAAGAGCTTATATATTCCAGATTTTTCATTTGGACATGCCTTCCTCTTGGACACACCACAAACTGACAGGACTGTGAGGAGAGTTGAGTATGAGGGCCTGGATACCTGTAGGTAATAATATCTTCTCCCTGCTTTTCTCTCTATCTCGCTTTGCTCCTTTTCCTGAACCTGCTTTTGGCTTTCCTTCAACTGCTCCTCTGGCACTCTTGTGTGTAAAACAATCACCTGCACCCTAGTTATCCCCATTTGTCCTCGTTCAGCATCTTGCAGCCCCATCAACATCATGCCCTACAAAGCTACACACTCTAGAAATCCGATGGATCGAACAAAATTCTTAGTAACACCGCACGATGGCTCTGCGCGAAGGAGGACTATTCACGGCACAGCGGTGAGTAGCCTTTGGGGGTGACCAGGCAAATCTGTGCTATTTCTTGTGCAGAGTGGACACACACACACACCACCCCCTGTTCTCCCAGGTGCAGTGTGGGTGTGATATTGGGAGATGCTGGCATGCACCATCTCATCTGTCCCACCAGACCTGAATCTGGTTGGCTGAGTGGTAGTGTCCCTATACTTCCTCTCCACTTGGAGATCTTACTCCCCCTAAAAATTTGAATTTGAAGGTGAAAAAAACTCTTCTTTGTTCACTCGTGTCTGAGTGACTGAACTATCCATTCTGTAGGTTGCCTTCTTACCCTGTTGATTGTGTCCTTCGTTACACAGGACTTTTTAAGTTTGGTGTAGTCCCATTTGTCTATTTTTGCTTTTGCTACTTGTGCTTTGGTGTCATACCCAAACCATTACCAAATCCAATATTATGGAGCTTCCCCTATGTTTTCCTCTAGGAATTTTATAGGTTTATGTCTTACATTTAGGTCTTTTATCTAACTTGATATAATTTTTGTATATGGAATAAGGCGCAGCTACATTCATTTGCATGTGGATATTCCCTTTAACAAGCACCAGTTGTTGAAGAGACCGTCTTTTCCCCATTGATTGGTCTTGGCAGCCTTTTCAAGGATTATTTGATTATTCTCACAAGGGTTTATTTCTGGGCTTTCTGTCTATTCCATTGGCCTATATATTTGTCTTGATGCCAGCACCACACTAAATTTTTAAAATTTAGTTTATTGGGGTATACCACACTTTTAATTACTGTAGCTTTGTAATATGTTTTGAAATTAGAAGTGTAAGATCCTCAACTTTGTTCTTTTCAAGATTGTTTTGGCTATTCAGGGTCCCTTGAGGTTCCATAGGAACTTAAGATGAATTTTTCTATTTCTAAAAAATAAATAACATTGGGTTTTGATAGGGATTGCTTTGAACCTGTAGATCGCTTTTCATAAAAGTGATACCTTGATATTAATAAGTCTTCCAGCCTATGAATACAGGATGTTGTCTCATTTATTTGTGTCTTCCTTAATTTCTGACAGCAGTGTTTTCTAGTTTTCAGTATATAGGTCTTCTGCCTCCTTGGTTACGTTTATTCCTAAGTATTTTGTTCTTTTTGATGCAATCATAAATGGAATTGTTTTCTTAATTTCCTTTCAATTTTAATTTTAATTCATTTAGATCTAAATTCAAATGGCTGCAATTGAGCACTTGAAATATGTTTTGTGAGACTGAATTTAATTTTTAGCTTTATTTAATTTTAATTAATTTAGACCAAATTCAAATGGCCAAATGTGGCCAGTGGCTACCATATTGGACATCATAGACTTAGAACATTTCTGTCATCACAAAAGATTCTACTGGACAGTGCTGCCTTGAGTGTCTGTTTGTTTTGTCTCTCTTAGAGGTTATTTGTATTTTAAACCTAACTCTAATTGTCTTGCTGGGAAGTTGTCCAGATCATTGACATGAGCAGGAGTTCGACTTTAGCCTTATGGAAAGTGTTAACAAGAAAGATTATTGTACAGACCACTGGTTATTTACTCAGATCAGGATAAGAATCAAGAACACCTTTATATGTGTGGTACACAAACAAGTGATTCATTGGGTACAAGATCAATGAAAGGATAAAAACATCTATCTGCCTGGGTGGGTATTATATCAAGTATTGAGCCTTTTTCCAAACTGGTTTCCCACTGCTCCCTTACCCCTTTAAGTTGATTTAAAAGGAGGTCAATTTTAGGAAAGAAAAAATTGGTTCAGTGCTACTTTTTTAAAAAGACTGAATATTGTACACTTGTATATGTAGTTTCATTCTCTGATAGCTGTCTTATCAAGGTACAGATGATGAAATTCATCCCCAAATCCTCTACATCACAAATCGCCCTTCCCTGTTTTCCTATTCAGATCTCTCCTTGATCTGACTTCAGCCAAATAAAAATGTTTTAAATAAAAGGGAAAAAAGCTACTTGAAGTGCTTAACCCCAGCCTCCCTTGTGAAGAGCCCTGAGCCTTCCTCTCCAGGGACTGATCCACAAGAGGCATAATTACCACCCTGTACACCTGTCAGGAGGGTCCCGTGTGGTGGCTGCTGCTTCTGCTACATAAGGACTGTGTAGCAGAGACCAGAGATGGGGGCACAAAGTGGTGATGGAAGCCTCCAGTGATATAGAGCTGTCACACATCTTATGAAGATCTTTGCTTTCCCACTCTTTATGTGTTGTATTCTGGAAGACAATGAGTATTATTTGATACTAGATTTGCCCCCACTCCCATGGCCCTGTCCATCAACTAAGATGCTACTAAGGAAAGGAGAGAAGCAATTAGAAAGGACAGTGAAGGGAACTAAAAAGGTAGAAAGACAGGAGCTGATGCACGAACCAGGCTAGAAAAGGAAAGAAGAGAAGGTACACTACGAACTTATTGGCCCTGAGACTAGATAATAGTGTGCCCCTTTCCTTGTATACCTCAGTCTGCTTTCCTGAAAGGGTCCCGCAGAGTGAAGAGCTGCCAGGTGCTCACACAGGTGCTTCTAGCAAGCACCCATTTCCATCCCAGTACATGGTCGGCGAGCTTCAGATACTTGAAATGAGCCTTTTGTACCCTGTGCAGTTTTTTTGTCGTGGTTGATGTTAGAAGATTAGAACAACACTTGTCTGGGTTTCCCTTCGCCCATTTCAACTTAGGAAAGGTGTCATCTCTCTGGCTGGATTCCTGGTTGTCAGTCAGAGGAGGGCTGATGTTTTGGCCCACCCTCAGATTACAATTTTGTCCCTAGTGAAGACAACTAAAAATAGCTAAAATTCCTCACCTTGAACCTGACTCTTTCTTCAAGAGCAGAAAGGCACTAAGTGAGTAAGAACTTGTTACTATAACATCAATATGAAAATATTAATTAAAGTCTGATATAGCTGACATGTAAATTTAAAAAAAGTGTATTTTAATTTAAAATTGGGGTGGGGAGACTGGAAGTGACTTCTATTTTGACATTTGTGTGGGTTAAACCAGATTATTTGCTCCCAGTCATTTTAGACACATAGTACAGGTGCTTTCTAAAAATATAAGTGTATGTTTTTTTCCTACAAATGTAAATACAAATCACACATCAAGAACCTTCTTATTAGTGTCACATTATGTGGCTTTAGTGTAATGTTTGCTTTAAAGCTAACACAGGCCTTTTGTTTGGGGTGGAATGGAGATATATAAGGAAGGTTAGAAAATATCTAAAATGTGACTCAATGGATGGCAGCTCCATTGCTGAATACCCTGAGTTGGGTTGTCTGACGCATGGAAAAAAAATCTAATTACTGTGTTTCTCTGAACTTAGGGCCATAAAAGAGAGAGGGAGAGAGAAAACGCACCCTTCCACCGCACATCCGGCATCCGAAGGGCTTTGTCTCCATCTCATCCCAAAGCCAGATCACCAGCTTCCCCCCGACTGTGGTAAGTGGCATGGAAGAGGCTGGCGGGGTTGCTCCATGCTGGAGAAGTGGTAGCCTCTGTCCCCTGAAAGGAAGCTGTTCCCCCTACACGGTTCGACCTTAACTTAGGGGATAACGTTTGTTTCTTAAAGAAAACTGGTATGGGCCTTTAACGTGAATATTTCTGCATTTGTCACATAAAAGACAAATATACAAGGCTAAATACCTTCATTTCTTTTCCGTATTATATGATGAGGGGCTCGGGGAATGGAGATTCTGGCAAGCCTGTTCTGGCATGTTCCCTCCTCTTCATGCTGTGTGTTTGTTTCCCAGGCTCCCATCCAAGTCGCTTCCTCATTTGCCTGGCACGCCCAGACCTACATCTTCCTTGCCTCCCGGACCAGTCAAAGCTACCCCTGCTCAGGTCCGGCCCCCATCCCCTGGCAACATCCGCCCTGTCAAGAGGGAAGTCAGAGTGGAACCTGAGAGAAAAGACCCCGAGAAGGAACCTCAGAAAGTTGCCAATGAGCCCCCACTAAAGGGTCGAATACCTCTAGTGAAGGTGGAAGAAGCCACAGCTGAAGAGGGGACGGCTGGGGAAGCCGAGGATGCCTCTGGTAAGAATCAACCCCCTTGTGGTGGAATATGGGTTGCTTGCTCCTTCCCCTTTTCTCCTGCCTTTTTTATCCCCCTTTTGGGGAATTAGAAATTTTATTCTGAGGCTAATTGTGGGACCTTTTCTTAAGTATAGTTTTCTTACCTATAAAGAAAGTAGAATTGTACATCCAAAGCCCTACTGTTGGACGAGCCATAGCATATTAATTCAGTTATGGTTTTTAATTCCTTTATTATTTTCACAAAATGTGGTCTTCAGAGCACCAGCATCAGAATTACTTGTGTTATCTGTTGCTGTGTTACAAATTATCTTAACACTGTGCAGCTTAAATCAACAATTTTTATATCACACAGAGTCTCGGTCAGAAATTTGGAAGCAGCTTAGCCTGATTATTGGAGGATGGCTCAGACACGTGGCTATTGGCAGGTGGCCTCGGCTGCATGCCATGTGAACCTCCCCATAGGGTTGCTGGATGTCCTCACAATTTGTCTGCTTGCTCTCCTGGCTTTTCCATAAACTGAGTGATCTCAGAGAGAGATCAGGAGGAATCCACAGTATCTTTTATGCCTAGTGTTAGAAGACACAAAAATCACTATTTCTGTCATGTTCTGCTCATTGAAAGCAAGTCCCTAGGTTCAACTCACACTCAAGTGGAGAGGATTAGTCTCCACCATTTAAAGGGAGGATTGCCAAAGAATTTGTGCAGATATTTTTAAACCACCATATCTATGACGTCCCAAACTTCAGAAGCCTGGCTCTACATCAAACCTACTGAATCAGAATATGTGGGGGATCCAAGGACTCAAAAAGATACTAAGTTCTCCAGGTGACTCCTGTGCAGGATTGCCCGGTAAAATACAGAGTGGCCAGTTATCCTATTCCTGTGCTTCTGGAGTTTAAGGACCACTGGCTTAGCCCGTGTGTTTGACAGAAGTTAGAATTTGTTTTTTTCCAAGAAGATCCAGTGGATCTCATCTCTTCCCAGCTAACCAGATGTTATTTAGAAGTTTGAAATCACCTGGACCTAGGAATTCAGTATTTCTTGTTGAAAATTGTCTTTATTCAAAAGTTTTCTCCTTAACACTTAATTTGAAGATAATTTGAAGATTGAGGGTAGGAGCAAAGAAAGAATTGATGGCTCAAGACGAATAGGGTTGTTAGAGAATGGAGGAGTCCGGTGTTTGTTTGCATGCAAAGGAGAAGGGAAAGGCCAAAGAGAGTCTTGAGCTTAAGAAAAACCTGTGGGTGTGGAAGGAGAAATGTAAATCTTGGCAGGAGCATCTGGAATGCTCGGTGCCAAGAGCGCACTCCTCGCGGTGCCTCTGTGTGGGACTGCCTGCTGTGCTAGCTCTCTAGGTCATTTTCCTGAATCTGAATAAGGTCAGAGAACTTCTGCTCCCATCCTGCATCTTGGCATCAGGATTGACAGGGAGGACCGGGATGTGTAAGGTATAGGAGTGCCAGCTCCTCAAGTGGCCCTTAGCTCCTCCTGCCTCCCACCTGGACACAGCTCTGAGGAGACAAAAGGGACATCTTCATTGGGTCTTATCTTCCCGGCCTGAGTCTGGCTCGTGGCATGGATGCTGAGGATGGTCAGCTTTAGTCCTCTAGTAAAGAATAGTCACTAAAGAGAAGGATTTTTACATTTTAATCAAAGGCAAATGGAAGATCCCACCTTCTTTTTGCTCAGGGTATAACTTCCCACAAAACCTAATGTGAGGCTCTATGCTGAGTACACATTCGACATGACACATGTTCTTAACTGATTTAACTTGTATAAAAATTAGACTTGTTGAAAAGTGTCAGCTTTGTTGGATGTCTCACATACACATGCAGCTTTTTGTTATCTGTTGCTTGGTTACAGATAGAATACAGTGAAACCGTGAGAACACACAGCAATAAACATTCCCTTTTCTTTTATAATGATGAATTCTAGGTCTGGGGTATAGGGAATGCTAGTTTTTGTTTTGTTTTTTGGGTTTTGTTTCCAGTTGTTTTTCTCCTTGTATCTTTTTCTACAGTTGTTCCAGCCCCAGCTCCAGCCCCAGCCCCCACTCCAGCCTCCGTCCCAGCGACAGTCCCAGTACCATCATCAACTGTGACTGCCAGTGCTTCTCCTAAGACCTCGGCAGGCACCACCGACCCAGAAGAGGCCACAAGGCTGCTTGCTGAGAAGAGGCGGCTGGCCCGAGAGCAGAGAGAGAAGGAGGAAAGGGAAAAGAGGGAGAGGGAAGAGCTTGAAAGGTAAAGCAGTGGCATTGCTAAGTGATATAGGGACACCTTGATAACTTGGATTCAGTCTTCAGTTTGTGAGAGAAGAGGTGGCAGCAGTGAGAAAGGTGAACGGGACTATTTCCGACTTACTCTTACCTGGTGTTCCTGTAACTATTGATTTTTTAAAATCGCATTTTCTTATTATACTGACAATACAACAACATTAATGAAGAAAGATTTAAAGGAAAAAACCCACAATCTTCACCAGTTTTCAATAATTGTGTCGATTTTGAATAATCCTTTCTAGTCTCTGTGAATAGTGTGCAGTTAGTTATATTTTTTCATACATAAGTATATACACACATATATATTTACATACTTATAGCTACAGTAGAGATACAATTGTACAAGGCTGGGTTTGTTTGTTTACTTAACATATATCTAATCTCCATATTTCTTCATTACCTTTCTAATGATCATTTTAAAGCTGAATAGTAAAAGTTAATGTTTTCTTTTTTCCAGATAGAAGTCCTCTTAGAGGGTGGCTGGGAGAGATAGTTAGTGCCCGGTGATGGCCTGCCAGACAGTATTGCCAGGGACAGTTTGCTTAGTTGCTCTCCTTCTGGGGCTAATAAGGCTAATGTCAACATAATTGTTCTTCAAATAAGCAGAACTTCACCCTGGGAGGATGGGCTGTCTTGGAGCTTGGTCCCGACAGGATGTGCATAGGCCGTCTTCCTCCTGTCCTGTGACAGAACATCCTGACCTTTGTTTATTGACAAAGATTTGGGGGGAGAGGGGGACAAAGGAGCTCAAATAAGTTTCAGCCTTTAGAGGTAGTTAAATTGCAGATTCTTTTACAAAGCCAGCTCTTTCCCACATATACACTGTTGCATTTTGCCACAAGGCAACAGGAGACTGGGAAGATGAGGAGGAAGAGTAAGGTGGCTTCACAGTTTGTCTCTGAACAGCAGGGAATGCATCCCGTGGGGACTTTGCTGACTCTGAACCAAATGTCCAGGCAGTAGCCATACTCCGGAGCCCCTCTCTCCAAGGATTTCCCCTCACAAATCTTTGTTCTGTTCTTCTCTTTCTCCAGACAAAAGAGAGAGGAATTGGCCCAAAGGGTGGCTGAAGAGAGAAGTCGCCGGGAGGAAGAAGCCCGCCGGCTGGAAGCGGAGCAGGCCCGGGAGAGGGCCGAGCAGCTGCGGCGGCAGGCGGAGGAGCGCGAGCAGCGCGAGCGGGAGGAGGCGGAGCGTCTGCAGAAGCAGGTGGGGTCCCTGGGCGCCGGCTCGCAGCTCAGGGCTGCCCCTTGCCCCGATGGGCAGGGGTCATCCCCGATGAGCAGAGGAACACGGGCAGTGGATCGTTAGAATTGCTCTGAGTCTTGTGCGTGCTCTCATTTTCTGCACTTTGTCCACCTGCTCTCTTGCCTCCACCCTGGCGCCCCGAGAGATTGGGCAGCAGACCGAGCCAGCCTGTTTGTAAGAAGCACCTGCCCACTTCTTGTTTCTAGAAAGAAGAAGAAGCTCGTGTTCGTGAGGAAGCCGAGAAGGCCCGGCAGGAACGGGAGAAGCATTTCCAGAGAGAAGAGCAGGAGCGCCTGGAGAGAAAGAAGGTAGCGGAAGCCCGGGACTCTAAGGGCCCTGATTCCTTCTAGCCTGGAAGCCATCTAAAGATCTGGAGACTAGCTTATTGCCATCAGAAAACAAACGTGCTCTGCCCATTCCAGATAAACTAAAGTAACTCTCAATATTAAAAACCTCCTCCAGCCCGCCGGCGTGACTCAGTGGTTGAGCATCAACCTATGAACCAGGAGTCATGGTTGCAGGTTGTAGCTTGATCCCCAGTGGGGGGCATGCAGGAGGCAGCCGATCAATGCTTCTCTCTCATCGTTGATGTTTCTCTCTCTCCCTTCCTCTCTGAAATCAATAAAAATACAATAAACCTTTTTTTTAAAAAAATTTCCTCCAAAGAAATCACCATTTATAGTTCACCCTTCAAAAAGTTAGGTCCGATTCATATGGTTTAAGGCAGTTCTAACATTTTGGAATAACTCCAATTAAGACAAAGCAGGGAGCATTATATTTTTCAAAATAACAGGTGTGTTTTAATGACCTGCTATTTTCTTAGTAAGGGAAATGTGCCAGGCCAGCTTTCTTCCTATATCTGATCTGTTCCTTCAATTCTTCCTTTCTTATAGCGACTTGAGGAGATTATGAAAAGAACCAGGAGAACAGAAGCTACAGATAAGGTATTGAGATGGCCATTTTTAGCTCTTCTTAATGGCTTATTTTATTTTTCTTTACTTCACTTGTAACTTTAACATTAAAAAGTCTTTTTCCTTGTTTTCTTTGGTAGAAAACTGTTGATCAGAGAAATGGAGATATAGCCAAGGGAGCTCTCACTGGAGGAACAGGTATTTATTTCAAAAAACTCAATTCAAATATAGAATTTTTGAATTGACTTTCTAGAGGTCAAGATGGTCATTGGTTGATTAAAAAAAACAAAAAGATAAAAAGATATAATTGATCCACAGAAGCTCAGGTGTATGTCATCTAGTCTACACATTTTTCCCTGTGTAAAACTCGCTCTAGCATTTCTGGATGATGTTTTTTCACATTTGTTTATATACAAATGAAGTACTTAATATCTTAAATCATTTTAGTCTTCTATGTATCTGTGTGTGTGTGTGTGTGTGTGTGTGTGTGTATGTATAGATTTGTATATATCTATCTATATATATATATATACCTATATATGGCTATATAGGTAGATATATTATGTATATATGCGTACACACAAACTTTTTTCTTTGCATTTACAAAATTAAATTTCATTTAAATATACATATTTTTGACAAATTGTACTTATGCCAATTCTCAAAAAGGAATTTAAATAGCATTTCTTTTAGTTCTGACTTCAGGATAGAGTTAAAATTTTAAAAATCTGTTAAAGTTTCATTAGAAAGTTATTCATATGGTATAGACAGACAGATTAATTTCTTGGTGATTCTAAACCAGATTTGGTTCAAGTAAAAATAACCTTAGTGTTTTAGTACTCAGATTCAGTTAGTATTTACTAAATGCCCTTCCTGTGTCAGGTACATCCTGTATGCATTTGCTCATTGAATTTCCACTGCAGCCTTGTGAGGGAGAGGTGCTTTAGCTTGGCGTCAACAGCATTGTCAGAGACCTGCTATGCGCCAGGCCCAGTAGTAGGTGCTAGGTTTCAGTGTGACCAAGACAGGCAGGTCCCTACCTCCCAGGGGCACTCACATTGCATGACAGGCCAGGTTGCACAGCTGGAATCCAAGTCACCAGCTGCTAATTCTGTTCCCTCCATGATCCCACGTGGTTTTCATGATTATACATACGGGTAGTTGTAGGTAGCTCTTCATTCAAGTCTTCCTCCTTCCTCATCTGTAATATCAATATGAAAAGAAAGGGCCAGAGATACCTCAGTTTCTTTTTCTATTTGTCAAGATCAGAGTAAAGATCAAATGAAATTATTTATGTGAAAAAACATTCTCTGTCAGTTCTGGGGGTTTCCAAATGTAAAATATTTGTATTGTGGAATTAGGTTTTATTTCAATAGAAACTACCCAGTTACTCTGGTCATAATTGCTTTATAGTGGGGTTTTCATGCTCTGTTAAAGATGCCCTAATTGTATTTGTTTGGAGAGTAACCCTAGTGCAGTGATGTCAGAGGTGACATGCGAACTCATTTTTTTTGGTTGATTTTTCTTTGTTAAATGGCATTTAAATATATAAAATAAATATCAAAAATATAAATCTTTGTTTTACTATGGTTGCAAATATTAAAAAAATTCTATATGTGACACGGCACCAGAGTTAAGTTAAGGTTTTTCAAAATGCTGACATGCCGAGCTCAAAAGGTTCGCCATCACTGCCCTAGTGGTTACATATTTATACCACTGCATTTTTAGCAGGTGTCTTCGAGAATGTTGTACTCGATAGGCTGTAAGTAGGCATAGCACCCAGTGAGCCATCAGAATGAGGGTACCAGGATGTAAATTGCACCAGCTCAGGATTATTTGAGGGCTGATGCTATAGTGTGTGCATGGCCTGGCTCTCTATTGTTAATTGTTGATCTTTCCCCTCCCTGCTGTACCTTTATCAATTCTTTCAGTATTCTTTATACCTCAATCCGAGAATGAACAAAAGGCAAGAAGGAAGGTTAAACTTGTCAGTTGTTATATCTTTATTCATCAATACTCATAAAAAATTGGTTTGAGTTAATACCACTAAAAAGAGGCCTAGATTATCTAGCTAACTAGTATTTCTCCTCTCTTGGTCCCACATCTGGTTGAGGGCTGAGTGGTGTTACCAGTGCTCCAAAGAGAATTCTAGGGTGGGCGGGCAGGCAGGTGAGTTTACAGACCCATCCGAAGTCTTCTCTGAAGCTGCCTATTACCAGCTTTGCAAATGTTGGCAGCTTTTAAAGTTAGCAATCACTTCTTTCCTTCAGTATTCAGACTCTTTGTACCTCTGACAGTGTTATTGAATTTGTGCCAGGCTGTTGAAATAACACTTCTTTAGAATTATCTCAGCTATTCTCTCACATCAAACTAAAACCATCAACTGCCACAAATTTCCCTGCAACTCTGACCTCTATGAAGGTTTACCAGATGTTCAGTAACCCTGTCCCCAATTTTAGAGTCAGTCGTCAATATTGCTGGCTTACGCTGGACTCTGACATTGAGCATTGAATAACAAGGTGGCACAGTCAGGTAATGTTCATGAAATCCCTAACATTCTAAGTGTGAGTAGAACCAAACTGAGTTTTAAAACATATTTTTTATCATCTTAGGTATTTCACGGTCCTTTGTTACAAATCCTTCAGTAAAGATGTTCAGCGACAGTCTAATCAAGTCAGCTTACTGCAATCGTCAAATCGTCATCAATTGCTTTGCTTTCAGTATTACATACCTTTTGCCCAGAGTCAATTTAGTGCAAGCAAAAGTAATAACACTGGTTTTCACACTTACAATGTGCCAGAAACCATTCTGAGTACTTTGCATGTGTTAATACATTTACTTCTCACAGTAGCCTATGAGGTAGGCACTATCCGTGAGGAAACTGAGGCAGAGAGTTTGTCATTTGCGCAACATCACACAGCTGATAACGAGCAGAGCCAGTACCAAAGTCAGGCATTCTAGCTCCTGGGGTGAGGGTTTGACAGTAGGGTACGAATAACCCTTTCTTCCATCTTCTTTGCCACGTCCAGCAGTCTCTGCACTTCCCGGTATGATGAACTCTCCAGGAAATGGAGACCCAGCAGCCAGCCCACATATGGTTACCTCACACCAATCAAAAGTGACTGTGGAAAGGTGAGTCAAGCAATTGGGGCCTTTTTAACTGATATGCATTAGGACAGACACTACTGTTTTCAACCCCCACCCAGCCCCACCAGAATTTCCTGGGCCTGATGGGATTTCAGAGTTTTAACATTAGGATTTATTTTTATTTAGGTTCATTAATTTTTGGTTGAGTTAGTAATTCTGTGAGAAAGGGAAAATATTTAAAAAAAAATTTTTTTGCATCTTTGAATATGATAGGGTTTTGTGTGACTATTAAAGAAAATTACAAGGAATAATTTACTTTTCTCTGTTTATATTTAACATGATCTAGACCATATGCACACCCTGTAATGGTATATAACAACTTTATTTTTACTATAATATTTAATGAGTCAGTGTTTGTTCCATAGTAAAATTAATTTCTATACCAGTAATTCTTATGTTATGTTAGTAGTAGCGGGGTTTATTGAAGATTCAAACAGTTGCTAACAGTTAAGAAAGGAGCATGTGTTGAAAGATTGCCTTTCTCTTTCCTTGCATTTATATCGACAACATCGTAAGAGCACACTCAAAACTGAAAAATGGGAGCAGTCATAGTTGTAGCTAATAACATAATCATGGAGAACTTGAGAAATACCTGTAATAATGTTCAAATGTTCAGCTATGACTTATTTTCATTTTCAGAATTTAATTATTTAATGAGTCTACCAGTTTCTAATGCCAGAATCTCTGCTACCATCAGAAAATTGACAGTCCTCAAGTTAATTTTTTAAAATCTAAAAATGCACACTACACATTTTATGGCATGATTGACAGCAATGAAAAGATGTCATCCGAAGATGTCCACAAATCATATCTATTAACATCTTTCTGTGACAGTGAAATATTTGTTATTTTGTCCACTATAACACCAAAGATAATGATTTTCCTGAGAGAGATCTTAATGATAAGCTTTCAATTATGTTGAGTAAATTTATTGTCATAATTACCTAACATGGAGGTTAAATGGTATTTTATTCTTTTAGTTACAGATCATTCTTCAAATAAAATATTTGTTCCCAACTGTTGTAATTTATGTTCATTGATTTCAGAGATTCTTAGAAAGGAATAAAAAGCATCACAGAGTGAACACCATCATTGTGATAAAGAATAGGCTCATTTAAGCCACTGTGTAACCTAAGTTAGTTGATACATTAACTGACTCTCTTCAAAGGTAAAATCACCAAGTTACTAATCATTATATAAGAACCTGAAACATAAATTTACTATGTAAAATGATCCTATTTAATAAAGAGGGAATATGCTAATTGACTTCCCACCCTCAAAGATGGCTGCGCCCACAGCCACAAGATGGCAGAGCCCAGTCCCCTTAGCCCAGCCAGGCTGCTCCACACACCTGCCTCTGGAGCCCCCCAGTCCCCTGAGCCCCCCAGCCGCCCAGGGCCAGCCGAGGCTTGCGCTGCCAGCAGTGGCAGCAGCAGAGGTGTGATGGGGCATTGCCTTCCCCTGATCGCCAGGTTGCCTCCCGTCCCTGTGGGCTCCCGGACTGTAAGAGGGAGCAGGCCAGGCTAAGGGAACCCCCCTCCAGTGCATGAATTTTCATGCACCGGGCCTCTAGTATAGATAATAAAATTCTTTTCTTTTAGCCTCCTCCACACACAATTTATAATTTAAGCACACAGCACTGTGCACCTACTGGTGTCATGCATCTTTACCCAAGTAATAAATTGTCCTTTGTCATGCATGTAAGATGATCCCTATCAAACAACCAGGAGAAATACAAGCGTATACTTTTTCTATTCTTTTACCTAACAATACAGGCAGATCCAGATTAGTATCCAAATATAAACATTAGGATATAATACAAGAATCACCTTAACAAATTTAATCCTTTGGTTCCAGTGTGTCTCCCCTTTAAAGAAAAAAAGAAACTATCCAAGAGTTACTTTATTTTTACAAATATAAATTTAGGCTTAAAATTTTGATAGCTATTATTTATCTGGAAAGCCAGAACAACAAATCACAAATTGAAGTTAAAAATAACACTGCTTAGCCCTGGCCAGTGTGGTTCAGTTGGTTGAAGCATTGTCCCATGCACTGAAATGTTGCTGGTTCAATTCCTGGTAAGGGCACATGTCTAGGTTGTGGGTTCGATCCCCAGTGGGGGAGCATGGGAGAGGCAACCGATAGATGTTTCTCTCATACATCGATCTTTCTCTTTTCTTTTCTCCCTTTTCCTCTTTACAAAAAGTAAAACATTTTCTAGGGTGAGGATTAAAAATAAAATAACACTGCTTAGACCAAGAACATTCAAATTCAACAAGTCATTTATTGTGAAGAATGCTATTTTTCTGGAATTAAGTCAACCTTATACATGTGGTACTGATCAAACCCTTTTGCTTTGGGGATGCTTATGCTACCGAGACTTGCTGATGATTCATTTTACCCATTGCGTTTCTCTATTTAATCTGCTGTAAAACCTCAGATCTCCTCAGATAGTGTGCCATGATGGCACTTGACTTTTTTACCTGGCACTAACACAATGTTTGTTTATCCAGTGAACCTAGTTCATTGGTCCTTAGCCCTTGTCACATAAGCTGACACCACCTCTTATCAGTATACTCTGAGTACAAATGCAAAATGGAGCACTATGCGCTAACACTCAGCTTTGTGTCAGTCAGCCCTATTTATCATCATACTATTCTTCTATTGATTTAAAAAATTATCAGTAAAAACAAATTTGTAAAAATTCATAGAGATTTGGATGTCACTTAGAAAAACATCACCCATTACTGAATGACCCTGGCCTGTAGGGAATTCTTACTGTGCTCTCTAAGTTTATTCTCCATTGTTTGGGACACAAACTTTGTGATATGTAGACTAAGAAACTCTGCTTCCCTTCATTATTTTTAAATTTATCTTCCTTAAATTTATCCATATCAATCTTGAAAAAGCTATATTTTCACTTTGCATCACCTCTTGTATTAACAAATACATCAAAAGAAGTGCACAAACACGTGCTTATTTATGCTTCTAAGGCGCGGCGTCCAGAAGACACACAGTACACTGACTGGGTGTAGCTGCGCTGTGACATTGTAGAAAAATGCTCTTGTGTTGTATCTGGTATCCCATCTTTCTGCGCCTCACATTTGATGCTTTCACCATCAAAACAAGGACTCAGTGTCACCAGGAAACAGTTTACAGTGATTCCAAGATCTGTTACTTTCATTGTGACTGACAGCCCACCATCTTTTAAGGATGGTTCATCGCAGAGTTTGTTAAACTCACTGCTTTTACCTTGCCTGTGTTGAATGATTTTCCCTCCTATCCTCAAGGGGTTATTCTTATGACTAGCATTTCCCAGAATAAACTTTATTTGCATACTTACATTTTTCAGCCTGCACACCTTCTAGATCAGGGGTGGGCAAACTTTTTGACTCGAGGGCCACAATGGGTTCTTAAACTGGACCGGAGGGCCGGAACAAAAGCATGGATGGAGTGTTTGTGTGAACTAATATAAATTCAAAGTAAACATCATTACATAAAAGGGTACGGTCTTTTTTTTTTTTTTAGTTTTATTCATTTCAAAGGGGCCGGATCTGGCCCGCGGGCCGTAGTTTGCCCACGGCTGTTCTAGATTATTATTAAACCAGTCTTAGCACCGATCCTCAGGCTCTCTGCCACTCATACTCTTCCATCTAGAGAAGGACCTGCTCATACCTCCCTCTAATACCCTTTCCTAAGGCAGTTTCCTATTCATGGGTACACATTCGCTTTGTTTCAGTGGGGACCCTCATTTTTAAACAGTTTTGCATCTGAAAATCCGTTAAACACTTTAAAATTACAAGTAAGTCACATCTATTATGTTCTTTTTTTATTCCCAATTTCAAGGTAACCTTGAAATCACTCATCAGAGTCGTAGTTTTTCACTTCAGTGCATTATGTTTAATGAAGCATTCCATAATCCTGATAATGATTCAACATATGTATGAAATACCCTACTGTACACCATGAATTAAATCACAAATTGGAGATTCCCAGGACCCCTTCCAAACACCTTGATGTCAATACTCTGGGGAATCCACCATGACAAATGCTGTCAGCATTGTGGTCCGGTTTGTTTTCACTAGAAAATTCCACTCCTTAGAATGAATCCCTTTAGTTCAGACTGGGAGAAGTTTTGCTTTTCCTAATGTCTCCTGTACCTAATACATTGCTTTGCTTTCTCTCCAAGAAAAAATAAACGAATGCTGTAAACTAGGTTACACTCGCCATACCCACCCCCAGAGATGTGGTAATGTCCTCCTAAGGTTGCTTTTGTAGCTGGGAGGAGCAGCAGTTTCTGGAGCAGAGAAACTCCCTGAACCCTACTCCTGACCTTGAGGGTCCTGAGTCACAAGGCTAGCCTCTGAGGTTTCTTTGGCTCTCAGCTTTTGGTGTGCAATCCTTTTAAAGCCTGAAGACCATAATCCTTGCCTGACAGGCTCCCCACTAATAATAGGTAGAATTGAAGAAGATTGGTGTTATCAAAATTCTGGCCAGCTTTCAAAGAAATATGTAAACCTGAGCAAGGATGATTCTTCTCCAGCCCTTTTTGGTTCTTGAGAGAGTGTTTGTAGAGGGAAGTGCCCATTGAGGGAGGAGTGTTTTCTTGTGAATAGGAAACTTGCTTTAGAACAGGAAACAAAGGATAAATGTGTAAACACAAGGGGTGAGGCAGGAAATTTCTTCAAATTTCTCAGATCATTCTGATAGATTCTTCCACGCCCAGCTGAGAATCTCTGTTCTAGAAGCCAAAAACTCATGGGTGTAACAGGCCACTGTCTTACCATCCTAATACCCCAGAAGACATTGTATGCTGTTCTTAGCCCTAGAGGGGCTATCTCTTCAATCGAATGTTTCTTCTCTCAAGTAAGGGATTTGTAGTAATTTTTGTGTTTGACCTAATGGTTTTCCTCCAAATCTTAGGAGTTTATCTTTGTATTTAGGGTTTTGGGTTTTTTGCCTAATTAAAAAGTAACATAGCCCTGACCGGTTTGGCTCAGTGGATAGAGCATCGGCCTTCGGACTAAAAGGTCCCAGGTTCGATTCCGGTCAAGGGCATGTACCTTGGTTGCGGGCACATCCCCAGTGGGAGGTGTGCAGGAGGCAGCTGATCGATGTTTCTAACTCTCTATCCCTCTCCCTTCCTCTCTGTAAAAAATCAATAAAATATGCTTTAAAAAAAAGTAACATACCCAAGCCCCTATCATTCAAACAGAAAGAGATTTATCACTTTTTAAATTATTTGTTATAACATCATAATAAACATTAAGAAAAAATAAGGCCCTAGCTACAATTAGCCTTATGGACTATCAGATTGCTGCCATGGTCCCAGCCCTCTTTTCTGGATTTTGGACTGAACAAGCGAAGTACACAGGCTTCAAGAGCCTTGCATTCAGCTCCAACCTCCAGAGTGGACAAAGAAGGGGAATTCAAAAGCTGGTGCTCTTATTCTGAGAGTACACCCAGGTTCATAATCCCAGTGATTTCCGTTTCAGTGTTACAGTTTCTGCAGGTCAGTGTCCTCTGAACATTTAATAATTGCTTACCCAAAACATATGGTGCAATTATTCCTCTAATTGTGGACAAGTAAGCATGGGTGGGGTGGCCAGGTAGCAGTGGGAGGGGGAAATGAAATCAGCTGTTGACACAAGTCTGGGGTTGGCGTTGCCATTGCAGCTTGTTAGCACATGCCTCCTACAAGGGCAAGGCAGTTGAGATGGCCAAGGAATGAGGGCTTTGCAGATGCATTTCCCTGCTTTATCTTGTGCCAAAACTTCTTAACATTTCTTTGGGATGAGAATCAGGACTGTTTCCCTGGTTACAGAAAGCCCATTGGTACTGGGAAAAAGTAGGAGGATGGGTGTGACAGCCCAAGCACTTGGAAGGGCAGGTGTTAAGCATGTGTGCGAGTGTGTGCATGCATGTGCGTGCTCATGCAGACTACTATGATGCCAAACCTCCTCTCCCCTCCTTGGTGAAATGCCAGAAAAGCACCATCATGCTCTGAGTCTGTGTAACATTTTTATGTTTTTCTTTCATAGCTCTTTTAGAAATAATTTTTCCAAGTACCTTGTAGTGCCTTGTGACATACTTAGGACAGGCATCTTAATTGTTTTTCTAGAAGAAAAGGTTTGATACTTTTATGCACCAAAATACAGGATGGGACAAAGGTAGGTTTGTGAGTATGCAAAACAAAGTTTATTCTTGTGTTATTATTTATTAATTATTGTATTCTTTTTCATATGAACAATTGTAAACCTACTTTTGCCCCATCCTGTATTCAAATCAGAAATGCTTTAGAATGTGTTCCACAGAAATCAGTTTTTCTCATTGATTAAGGAAAGCAAATATTTCCCTAATGGGGCGGGGTGGCGGGGAAGCAAAGACTCCTCAAAAACAGCAATGTAAAGATTGAATGTACATTAGCTTTCTTTTATCATTTGGGGAGGAGATGGAAAAAGACGAAATGACTGGCTAAAGTTAAAGCATTTGGCATTGCTGACACTAGAGACTGATTTTCTGGTCTCTGGACTGTCTCTTCCCATAGACCTCTTTCTATAACTAAATATTTCACTTATCAGTATGTATGAGAAGTTAAAACCTTTACGATTTTTGCTTTATATTTTTAAGTTTTTCATTTTCCATTTGGAAATTCAAAGTCTAGAATATTGTCTGTCAGATATGGTCACTTTTGACACATGAGTTGAGCCCAGAGCAAATACGAAGCTTGAAAATATATGTCTATTGCTGCAGTCAGATAAAGTGAACAATGAAATTAACCTAGCATCCATTTGCTGCACAGGCATGGTTTAACTGCATTGTAAAGCTTAACAATGAGCATATAACATAATGAACTGCCCATTTGTTTATGGAGCTTGTGAAGAGGGTAAAAAATCTAAGAGAAATTGTAGGTAGAAAATTAAGTATTTGATGGCCAGTTAAGGTACCTCAAAAAATAAATCCAAAAATGTAACCATGAATTAATCAATAAGAATCAAGGTGGAGTCAGAGAAAGATTTAAGTGACAAAGATGAGAAGGTTGGTCTTCAACAATTTACCTATAAAATTATATATCTGTTTTAGGAAGTTGGAATAGCCAGGAAGAGCTAGAATTTGAATAGTCAGGGAGTGTAAAGAATGCATAATGAGCCCTAGGGTTTGGCTCAATGGATAGAGCGTTGCCTGCAGACTGAAGGGTCCAGGGTTCAATTCTGGTCAAGGGCACATTCCTGGGTTGCAGACTTGATCCCCAGTAGAGGGCATACAGGAGGCAGCCAATCAGTGATTCTCTCTCATCATCGATGTTTCTATCTCTCCCTCTCCCTTCCTCTCTAAAATCAGAAAAATTATATATTTTTTAAAAAGAATGCATAATGAGAAAAGCACAGGACCAGAGATCAAGAGGTCATGCATACAGTCTGGACTGTCTATCTGTAGTTGTGTGACTTTGTGCAGATCATCCCTCTGACCCCCAAACTCTAATAATCCTCTTGTCTTTGAAGTGAAGATCCTAATAAGGGCTGTTCTTTATCAGACAGAGTAATGTGGAAATTCAAACATTGATTTGTTCCACTTATTGATTCATTCATTGGTTGATTCAGATTTTTTTAAAAATAAGAATTTAATATACAAATATGTAAGAATTCACCATTTTTGTTAGTAATGATGCAGTCTAACATTTTGACTGTAAAATTATTTGTTATAAAACAATATTTGGTTGTTCTAAAAATGTGTTTTTGTTTTAACATGAGTCCAATTTAATTTTGATTTTTTAAATTTCCCAGTACTCCCAATTTGGAAAAACAGCCAAATGAAAATGGAGTCTCTCTCGAGAATGAAAATTTTGAAGAAATCATAAACTTACCTATTGGATCTAAGCCATCCAGATTAGATGTCGCCAACAGTGAGAACCCAGAGATTCCTTTGAATCCAATTTTGGCCTTTGAGGATGAAGGGACGCTTGGGTCCCTGCCTCAGGTGGATGGTGTTCAAACACAACAGACTGCAGGTAAGCTTGCCTCGGATTCCCTTCAGTAATCATCAAATCTATGTGACAGCCAAGAGGGCATGGACCTTCTTCAGTGTGATTGTGGCACACTTTGTCCTTTAATGGTCCAAATAAGCCACAGGGACAAGATTTTGCAGGGATCATAGAAATTGAATTTTGAGTTGCATTGGGCAATTTCTAGGGCCCCTTCTAGTCTCCCATTCTGTGTGGAAATTCAGTATGCAACACCCTTTGTTCAGCAAGGTTCAGATAAAGGCAAACACTTAATGCCTGACCGTAACTTGAGGACCATTGGGCTAGTTCTGTCCACTAGAGAAACTAGTTGGTTTTTATTCCATCTTTCTCAGATTTTCAGATATTTGAAGATTGCCATCATGTTCTCCCATCATTTTTCTCTTGTTTGGGTTAAGCAACCTGGATCATACACTATTGTCTTTTCACATGTAAGAAGATAGTTACGATTTAGGTAATGGGACCATATTCTGAACTGGGAGCACAAGAATCTTCCATTCCTTGTTAAGTGACTGTAGCTGTAGTTAAAACTGTCTCTGGGACTCACATTTGATCTGAAGTCTTTGTACAAGAACAATAGCTTTACAGGACCCAAAGAAATAAGGAGTACCTCAAAAGTTACCAATTTAGTGGTCATGGCAACTCAACAGCATGGCCCCATAAATCTTAAAGACAAGTAGGATAAATGCAGCTCCATCTTTTATCAAATCTCTTTGAATTCTATCAACTTCTCTTCCCAGCAGATCACTTTCATCTATTGACCAGCATCTCTTTATTATACTACTGGAGGCCCAATGCATGAAATTCATGCAAAGGTCTTGGCTCTTGCAGCCCCTCACAGCCCCTCACAGCCCCGGCTTCAATCAGAAGGTCATCCAGAAGGATGTGCGGAAAGTCATTCAGCTATTAGGTCTAATTAGCATATTAGCTCTTTATTATATAGGATTATGAACTGAGCTGGCCAAATTCAGCATGTTTAGATGGAGTTCCTAAGGAATTATATGTGGTCAAATTGTTTTTCTTTTACATTCCATCGGTGAACTTATAACAAATTTTCCACTTTAAATTGTTGAAAAAGCCCATGTTGAACCAAGTCTTTTTTGCTTCTCTGTTGTACTGACCTTGGGAGTATAACTTAACTTTAGTGATCCACTTTTCTAGACTATAAAAGGGAACTGTAAGGTCCATCCCAGGTTTGACTTTCTGATTGTTAAGCCTCTGGGAACTGTCTGGTTACTTGCATGTTGGTGGAAACACTGCTGGTGCAGCTTCATAGAGAAGGCAGGAACATCTGAGATGACTTTCTGCTTCACTGGCCAGGCCTTAAATCCCCTTTTGATTTATCTGTCATTCGTTCTCACTGTGCCCACCCTTCCAGACCTTCTCTAGGAAAGTAATCCAATGTCTGTGATCTTAAGTGATGTAAGGTCTTTTGGGGTCATGACTATTTATTGACAGACATTGATTTAATCTCCAACATATGTTTGTAGATGGAAGCATCAGGTACCAAGGATACAAAGACATTTGTAAATCCTTAACCTCAAAGAAAGCCTAATTTGATGTAAAGGACATGTGTTTTCCTATTAGTGGTAGAATTTACTTAAATATGTGATTGTGGACCCTGATGAAATTGCCTATTCTTAAAGCATGGTAAAGTTTTAGAAATGTAAGATATAATTACTAGAGTATTCTTTAAATGAGATTTTAAATAAGTATATTAACCTGTTCTTTTTTCTGTCTCCTAATATAGAAGTTATATGAGTGTTTCTTCTGAAGAACCAAAGCTGAAATTTAATAAGAATTTCTACAATTAAAGAAATTCCTTCTATGCTGTAAAGGAGCATCCCCCATCCTCCAGTGTTCTAAAGATTTCTGACCATCATTTTGCAAAGACTTTATTAAAACCAGCTAAAGACAACAAACTGGATAGCTTTTCTAATAATTTTCGCCAATAGAAAAAAAGAAATGCTCCTTGTTCTTCCGTACTTTAAAATGGCTTTTTCCAGAGAGCTCCTTTTAGCAAATCAAGTTGTTGTTGTTTTTATTCTATGTAAAAGAAATGGGCTGACTTGGCATGACTTTCCACATAGATATTTTGATGTTTAAAAGCTAGCAGGTAAAATTGGCACAAAAAATTTACCTTTTACAATACAATACTTGAAAAACAAGTACCTCTTTGCTCTACAAGTAGAGGGAGTAGGAGAGGTGTTTAAATTAAGCCTGTTTATTTAAATAATATTGCAAAGAGCTCTATCTGTAGAGACAAATTATAGGCAGATTACCAGGTTCTTGTTAATGCAACTTGTACATGGACGTTCTGCAAACCCAGCAGTCACATTTTTGCATCTCTTTTTCCAAAGGCATACTAAACATTTTTTAAATGTGAAGGGGGGAAAAAAACCATTATTTTTTCAGAGCAAGAAAATAATTTACTGTCCTCTTAAATACTGTATTTATAAAGTTTTTCCAGAAAAATTAATCAAATAAATTAGAGTAATCTGACAACAGTGCAGATTTGATTTATTAGATTCATTCCTTATGTTACCATGAGAGAATGTTACTGATGATTCAGGGTTATTTCCAAAGTCTGTGTATTGCTGCTGTCCCCAGTGATAGTGGGACTTGTCTTTGCCTTACCTGATGACAAATTATGTTGAGGGGGTGGGGGGATAAAGGCTTACTATTTCTTTAAATAAAAAAAGAATTTGGTTTTGCTCGTTTAAGAGCAATGAAAAAATGATGGGATGTTGACTGTGTTTGGCACACAGGACACTGCAGGACACCGTTATGAATGTCCTTCTGCGTGGCATCCATCAGCTTTCACTTTTCATTCTTCACTTTTGCTGCTGAGCTTAGCTGTACAAACTTGCACTTTCACTTACTAATATAAATTCCATTTTATTTTACCATTTGAGAGGCTACGAATAACTAAATATTGAAGAAGAGTGAACACATGTGTTTATGTGGAATGTATAAAAAAGTAAACTTCTACCACTGTAGTGTATTGGTTTTTATTCAAAGAGAGGTTGGTTAATCTAGATTGAATGAGAGACTATTCATATATTGGACTATTTCCTTAAAATCCAAGCATATCGTCTTTAGTAATACAGTAGCTGTAATTTGTTAAAACGTTAATTTGGGGGTTTTCCCTATACCCAATTGTCCATGTACACATAATCACATTAAAAAGATCTGTTCAACAAAGTGGTTTTATTTGTTTAAATTGACCCAGCATGAAACACCAAATGTGTTTGACATAGTTTTACTTTTAGGTTTCTCATATAATTTCACTCAGGTTGATTCTTGAGTTTTCAAATTGCCCTTCATTTGTCCTCAATGACATTTTCTCAGCTTCTTATGAACAGGTGTATAGAATAGATTTATTTAAAATTAGAGCAATAGTTCTATTTGGTTCTTTTTTAAAATTTATATTTTTAAATTTGAGCAATCATTAGCAAACTGAAAGCTTTCTAAGTAATCAAGTTTTAATTAGAAGTGGTATAAAATTGCTAACTCTGTCTTAAGAATGACACTGCCAAAGGATGACCTTGACCTGAATGGCTGAATTGCTTTCTGTCCAGCTCTTGAAGGTCAGTTAAGAGTTCTCACAGAGGTCTGTGGTAGGCACTACATTAAGGCTAGTGCTCAAGGATCAAATATGGCCCTCTCCATGGAATAGGCTGGATGGACTTTTAGTTCCCCTCCACCTCATTGCAGTCTAGGCCAATTTAATAACCGATCACAGAATCATTTGATAGATTAATTGCCAGATTTTACTGGATGGTAAGGCTATATGTCCCTTGCATAACCTGGTTATGCAATAAAAGCAAAACAGTTCTTTCACATGAACAAATATTAGCAAGCAAGGCCACAAAGCTTGGTGAAGATTCTCTTCTCATAATCACACAGTCACCTTGACTGCAGGATTTACAGTGAAGCAGAAGCAGTGATATTCTGAAGGCCGGATTAAGAAACCTAAATGGATCAGCAATAATCTTAAATGTGTGGGGTTCAGGGAAGGTGGCAGAGGGGCAAACAGCTCTAGACTCAAGGAACTAATCAAAAGTCATGAGCTTGCAGGATCTGTCACATTCTTATACCCCATTTCATGCATTTTTGTCTCTCAAAGTCTAGGCAATCACTTATCTTTCAAGTTCCTCTCATTAATGAAAAATTATTAACATCCTTTATGCTTATTAACACTGGTGTAGATTTAGGTGACCGTATTTAAAGCATCCACCTAACCACCAGATTGGGGTCCTTCAAATGCTATCTGGCCTGCTCCCAGGGTGAGATTAAAGTTCAATTATACGTGCACACAAAGTTTATATTAAAGCATTTTAAAATAAATTGTATATTAAAAGAAATTTAAAAGGCACCAATAAATCTACCTTTTGCAATAAAAAAAAAATGATGAAAAGTATTTGATTATTGGCCTTCATCTATACCAGTGATGGCGAACCTTTTGAGCTCGGTGTGTCAGCATTTTGAAAAACCCTAACTTAACTCTGGTGCCGTGTCACATATAGAAATTTTTTGATATTTGCAACCATAGTAAAAACAAAGACATATTTTTGATATTTATTTTATATATTTAAATGCCATTTAACAAAGAAAAATCAACCAAAAAAATGAGTTTGCGTGTCACCTCTGACACGCGTGTCATAGGTTTGCCATCACTGATCTATACTGTGCATAGAACATTAAAAAGCAACATTTTATATTGTTTTCCTCCACAAGGATTTTTTTAAAATATGTTTTTATTTATTTCAGAGAGAGGAAGGAAGAGGAAGAGAGAGATAGAAACATCATTGATAGGAGAGAATCATTGATCCACTGCCTCCTGCACGCCCCACACTAGGGATTGAGCCCACAACCCAGACATGTGCCCTGACCGAGAATCGAACCATGACCACCTGGTTCATAGGTTGATGCTCAACCACTGAGCCATACCAGCCAGGGGAAAAAGCAACTTTTAAAAATGTCCTCACTGCCAAGAAGCATCATGCCCACTCCTCATGCTGTTATTACTCATCAACACCTAAAACCTCTCAGAAATGCTCTGGGTTGTCATTTTCTCACAGTGGCACTTCATTGGTTTGGAGGAGGAGCTCTAAAGGCCAAGAAGAGGATGAGAAGAGGGCCTGCCTGTGAACAGAGGGGCAATTTAAAATCTGCTACCAGTAAAATACTGTGTTCATAACTATTTCCTCGATGACTTGTTATGTTGGTAGGTTTTATTACAATTTTAGAAGTTAAAAGTAATTTTAGTAGTTAGTGCCAAGATTGGTTATGCACAAAAGAAAAAAAAAATGGTTAAATGCTGTTTTAAAACGTACACATAAAATATTAGGACTGACAATCACTTTTGAGCTACTGTGTCTCAAATGCCTTGCAGAAGACTAAAGGAGAGTGTTAGAAGACAGGGCAAATGAGGGAAGCAATAGAAGGATGGTGAAGGGCCAGCGTCTGGTGTTAGACTCAGGTTTGGACACCAGGTCTGACACCTGTGAGCTGTCTGAGGCCTGGTGAGTTACCTGTGCTCTCCGGGTCTCAGTTTCTTCATCTGTACATGGGAGAATATTGCCCATCTCATGGGGTTGTCATAGTCATTATAAAAGTTGAATTAAATGAGAAGTGTACATTTCTAACACATAGTAATTATTCAATAACTGTTAAATTTTTTTCTTCCATTTGAGGGCCTCTGGCAAGGCCAGCGGGACACTGTTGCAGAGGTGGGAATTCACCATTGTTTTTCAATAGTGGCCTTAAGTTCCTCTTAAAAACAAATATGTTATCCATTCTAGGTATTTTACAGAGCAAGCTAAACAGATGTGATCTCATTTCTCTAGAACAGTATTACAATTTTAGAGTTTCTAATAATTTTTTAGTGTTACCATATTACTGTTTAAATTCCTAATCATTCCTTCCTCCATCCTTCCCAAAGTGTTCTTTCCAAAAATAATTATAGTGACTTTATATTTTTATGTGTTGGGAGGCACTTCTTGACATCCACTGACAGAATGAGAATTATCTTGTTGGCCGCAGGGATGACTATAAATGTTTCTGCAGAAGTCACAATGGCCAGCCCTCAGGAAGTGCTGTAGGAAGGCTGGATGGCACGGCAAGAAGCTTCTGAAGCAGTTGCTGAGAGGAGAGTTAAGCAAATCATGTTCAGACTGTATCTAACGATTCCTCCTTTCTAAAGGATATCTGAGTTGTCTGACCAACAGATATCAGAGAAAAGGGGGATTAGGAAGGCAAGAGTTTGGAGTTCCTTATTGGCTTTAGGGTCAGGAAGGACATCCTTTGGTAGGTTCTATTGCTCACACTGGAGTCACCCTCCCCCCTCAGAATGGCTAGCAGAACCTGCCTCTTTGCTCACAGTGGCACCTGCCCGAGGCTGTTGATGTTGCCAACTGGTACAACCTCTGGCTGGAAAGTCAGTGTCCCAGACTTTCGGATGTTTGCATTTAATTGGGGGAGGGTTGGGAACGGTAAATGGGGAACCAACATCGATTGACATCATCTTGCAAGGTAAGAACAGCAAAAATAAGTAAAATTACTCTCAAGGCCACTCTCAGTGGCCCATTCCCCAGGCCGTACATCTACGTTGACATGTCAGGAACTGGGTAAGGGCACAGTGTCCTGGTACATCTTTCCCTCGCTGGAGTAAGCTCCTGTCCCTGTGGTGGCTGGCTGGATAACACTCCATTACCTGACCTCCATTCCCTGAGAGGCGTTCCCTTTACTAGCCAGATCAACTACTTGTTCTCAGATCCTTGCTATAGTGTTGGCTTCCTGGGAAACTGGAACTAAGGTTATTATGCTAAGGTCTATTAGCATAACTTTATAAACAAGTAACATTTTATCCCCTAAAAAGTAAGAATACAGCTCTTGTTCTTGAATAAATGAATAAATTCAACTTGGAAAACTCAATCGAGTGTTCTCATTCTCATTTCATCACACATATACACCAGTCAGTGACAAATATTTGCAGCATAAAATTCAGTGCTTACCAGATATAAATTAACAATAGTGAACATGTTTTAACTTCTGGGTGGATGTAGGGCTGTGATCATCTGTGATCACCCAAGTGTTTCCATCATTATTTTAGTCTTTATCTTCAGGCCAGTGGTTCCCAGTGTTGAATTCTGTTTTCTCACCTGTGTACTGATGTCCCAGATCCTTTGTACTGAGATCACTACATTTTTTTAAAACCCTACTCCTCTTCACAGTCCTTAAAATCTCTCATGGTGTGATCATTCCTAATCCCCCAGGCATCGTCTCTGTGCTGCTTCTGCTGGGTTCTGGGAGAGCTGGAGTATTGAGTTTGTAGCATTTTCTGAAAGAAAGAATCAAAAGGAAAAAAAAATCAGACAACCTTTCTAATAATATGTTAAACTCAGAAAATTATTAACATTAAAAAAAAATTGCTACTGCTACTTATATAAAATGCTAGTCAGGGAGGGATATACTAGTATTTTTTTCAGATGTTTTTATAGGGATCAAGTAGAACTGGTATGGAAATATGAATGGCTAATGAAATAAATGCTGTATTTTGTAAAGAAAATAAAGGCAAAAAAAAGTCAGACACTAAGAAAACTGGTAAGGACAGATATTAATCAATAATACACTATTACAATGAGGAAAAGAGGTGATTTGGTATCTTTAAAGGGAATTAGGAGGGAAGGGGCTGAGCAGGGACTCAATAGAGTCAGGGATGTGAAAATTAGACAATGTTGGAAAAGTATGATCCATGTGAACCCCATCAGGGTTTGTTAACTGGCTCGTCAAAGTTAGGCTTCTGCCCTTCCACAGAGCTTTATTTCTGTGGAATTAAACTCTTAGTTTCCAACTTCCTCTTTCCCTTCATCCCACCAAGGAAGAAGTCCAGCTGTGCCTTTAGTAGGGGTAAGATCAAAGCCATTGACAAGTTTTTGTTCCATGTGGGAGCATAGTCCAATCCAGCATCAGGCTAGCTTAGTCTGTGTTCCCAGCTGCAGTCCATCAGTCCACTGCATGTGGTGTCTGCATGGCCATGTGCCATGCAGCTATTAGGAACACCAGCAAATGCAAGGAAGCAGGAGGAAAACCAGAGGGAAGGAGAGCCACAAGAGCCAAAAGTGCCAAGAGAGACCAAACTCCTTTGTCTGAGGGATAATGTATTCCCAAATTTTCACAGGCTTGCATTGCCTCTAACC